TGTGCTCTCCGGCACCCAGCTGCTCCACAGGACCTGGCTCAGCCATTCCCCTCCTCAGTGTCCCATGGTGGCTGGACCTGGCGGTACTCATTGGGCTCCTGGTGCCAGGAGAGGCTGCAGACTCACTGGTGGGGGTATCTGGAGATGCTGTGCTCCTTGTGCCTGGATGAGACCTTGAAGGACCAATGGGGAGATGTTCTTTCCCAGCACTGGATCCTTCCCCAGGTCTGGCAGACCAAGGAGTCCTCTGGGGTGTGTGTCATGAGGCTCAGGAGGGAAGCAATGGGCCCTGGTGGTGTCCCAGCACTGGATGCAGCTCCTGCAGAAGGTGTGCCTGCCTGTGCGAGCCACGTCCGCCAGTGGGCAGAGACAGATGGGACACATCTCCTCCTCAGGGCCCTCCACCGACTGCACCTGTACCTCCTGGCAGCTCCTCCTGACTGACTCCTGGCTGCAGCTGCGCTAGCATTGAGGTGCTCAGAAAACAGACTCACTGGAGGCTGCCTCTCACAGAGCAATCAGCAGTGTCTGGGCCTCAGCACCTCGTGTGTTGCTGACAGTGATGGACGCTTTGTGTGCCACTCGCAGGAGCTCTGACGTCTGCTGTTCCTTGAGCAGGATCCTCGGTCACTTGCAATCCACTTGCAGGGTGTTGATGTCTCATGTACAGCTGGCAAGGCCTTGATGTCTCATGTTCCATCCGGGGAAGGCACTGATGTCTCAAGAGCTGCCAGCAGGACTCAGAAGAGGGCAGAACACTCCGGGTATCTGTACCCTGAGCCACCTATATATATATCCATCCACTCTGTTGTGAAGTCACGGGATGACAGCAACTCCCCAGTGGTATCACAAGGCACACAGATGTAGATTTTTTTTCTGCTAGTTGTCATGCTAATAATAGTTTTGATGTTTGCCTGCCAGAACCCTCCTAAGAAATTCCATGGGGCAGTTCCACAGACATTGAGAAACAAACAGCTGCTTGAAGCAACAAGCTTTCTTGCTGGGACATTCCCACTGAGCTGAATTCAGTTGGGAAAGGAGCTGTTGTGATAGAGAAACTGTATGAAGTATTACACACACAGTATTATATTTCCCATAACATAATATATGTGGGAAAAACAAGCAATTGTGATTACACTCTTTATTACAATGAAACTTGAAATTGATGTAAATGTAAATGTAACAGTACAAGCTTGTATTGGTTCTGGCCTGAAATCCTCAAGGACCTGTAATAATGAGTCAGCAATAGCAAATGATCACCTCTGCCAGTCTGAGACTGCAATCTGACATAGAATGTAATTAATAGGAACTGTGAATTCTACAGTTTCAGTGGTCCTAATTCTAAACCACTGAATCAGAATCACCAAGGTTGGGAAAGACCACCCCTGAAGAGCAGCTGGGCACTTGAGAACACAGGACATCCTGAAGATGCCAAACAAGAGCAAACCAAGAAACTGAAGAACAATGAAGCAGGGCAGACTGGGTGGGATTGGAGGCAGAACCCAGGCTTCAGCATTTTTAGAGCTCTGGGAGTGCTCCTTTGCCCTTTCCCCTTTGCTTACTCACACTCACCCCATAGGGACAGCACTGGTTTGCCACTGGTCTGCTCCCTGTGCGCCCCTACCAGCAACATCTCACTTTCATAATCATCCCCTGTGGCTTTCAGATTTGCAGTCCCCTGAGGCCCCTTCACTCCTCTCCAGCCCCACAGTCCCCAGCTGCCACAATCACATCCCCACCGCCCTCCTGCCCGCAGCCCCAACCAGGGCATTGGCAGTGCCTTCAAGGCAAGTGGGATCCTGCCAACAACGGCAGATGTAAAGCACAGGGGTGCCTGCTCCTTACAGATCCCCTAAGAAAGGGGCTCAGATTCTGCAAGGCATTTATTAAAAACAAAACAAAACAAAACAAAACAAAACAAAACACGCTGGAGACAACATGAGGAAAAAAAAACAACATAATCTTACATTCCTTGAAATATTGGAAAGAAGTCATGCAGCATTGCACAGACCTTGAGGCAGGTGCTCAGGCTCTGCCAGACTAGGACTTTATCTGCACTGTGGTCTTGAGTATTCCTCTGGGGTTTTCCCAGGAGTACACAACTAGATCCATCATTCCTGCAACTGAACAAAAACATGTTTAGTGAAAACACACTGCTTCACTCCAAGATAAAGCCAAAGCAGTGTCATTGCCAGGTGCACAGCAGAGCTGCCTGCAGGTGTCCCCATGCAATGAACTGGGAAGCTCGTCCTGCACTGGGAAGTTTGTCCTGCACCTGCTTGGGGTCACCGAGCCCTTGATGTGTGATGGTCACTGGGCCAGCATCAGCACAGACAGCTGGGATGGAGATCTTGCACAGTGCTCCAGCAGCAACCTTACTGTGCCCGTGCTGGTTTTGGGGAGTGTTATTTTTTCTCACAGTACTTCCTGCTGTGCTGTGGCTTGATTTTGTGATGAAAACAGCGTTGAAAACGCACAGATGTAGCTGCAGCTCAGCAGTGCTTACACAGTTAAGTGCTTACAGAGCATTCTGTAGGTGCACAGCTGGGAGGGTGCACAGCCAGGACAGCTGGGATGTTCCAGATCATACGGTGCCGTGCTCTGCAAGAGAAGCAGTGGGGAGTTTTTCCAGGGGAAAAAAACTGCTGCTATGCATTAGTTGCAGTGGTATACAATTGCATTTTGCACCATGAGCTCTTCTGGAGTAGTTTTCTCAGGGGGAGGAGGGTTTGTGCTTTTTGAAAAATACGTATTTCCTCTTTTTCCTTATCGATCTGCCGTAATACCAACCCTCACACTTTCTAACCGTCACCTTTCCCATCCTCCTCCCCCTTCCCGCAGGGCGGAGCTGAGCGGCTGCTGGGCCTGCCTGCCAGGGGAGCACAGCAGCGCCTGTGACGGGACAGCCAGCCCCGCAGCGGCTGCTGCATCCGTGGCGTGGGCTTGCTAGAAGGGAGAGACAGCGATGTTAACATTGCTGGCGCTCTAACGGGGGTACCGTGAGAACGGTGAAGTGCGCGAATCCGGAGGCAGAAAATCCCCGCACGGCAAACTGCACCGACCTGGCAGCCAGCGCACGGCAGCGGCGGGCAGCCCGGGGCCATTAACGTCCCTTGGGAAAAGCGCACGTGGTGCAAAGGGAGAGAGCAGAGCTGTTAGGGCGCTGCTGCGGGTGAATTCTCCTCTCTCCGCTCCGGGGTGACGCGGGCGGTGACCTGCGGCCCGCATTGAGGGGCCGAGCGTTTGGGGGCTGCTCGTGGGGTGACGGCGTGCCCTCGTGCGACCCCGCCCGAGCCCGGGGGCCGCAGCGCCTGTCGGAGTGGCAAAGGATGGCGGCGTTCCGCGGAATGGGGTGCCGAAAGAGGGCGGCCTCGGGCGGGGCGGGTGATGCGGGCGCGTCCCCTTTAAGAGGAAGAGGACGGCGGAGGCGACGGGGACCGCCGCGGCGAGCCGCGCAAGCGCACAGCTTTTCCCCGCGACTTATTTGGCGCTGCCCGCGGCGGGAGCCGTGCGCTCGGGCGGGGAGCTGCAGGACGGAGCGGGCGCGCGCGTGCGCAGAACGCCGTAGGGCCCGGCCGCCCGCCGCGCTCTTTGTGGCGCTGCCGGAAGCGGCCGAGGGTTGCGGAGCGGGGCGGCTCGGAGCGGCGTCTCCCCGTGTCGCCTCAGCCGCCGCGGGCACCATGGAGCCGGCGGTCTGAGGGCGGAGCGGCTGGCCCTGCTCTGCCCGGTCCGACATGCCCGCCGGGCCCTTCGGCGCAGGTAAGGCCGTCCGGGCCCGACCGATCCCCTTCCCCCCACCCCTCCGCCGGGCCCTGTGGTCGGCGGCCACTGCCCGCCCGGCTCCGGGCCGCCGCGCGGCGCGTCGGGGCCGCGCTCGGCGCCGGCGCAGCGCTGAGCGCCGGGCGGCCGATGGGAGTGGGCCGCGGAGAGCTCCGGGCCCGTCCTGCCCTGCCGTACCCGGGGCGGGGGCCGCGGTTCGGGAGCCGCGCGGGGCGGAGGGAAGTTGTGGTCGGCAGCGCCCGCGGAGCGGCGCGGAACTCGGCGCCGGGCTCCGTCCTGCTCTCGCCGTTAGCCTCGTTTTTCTCCTGCTGCCCCGCGGGCGGGCGCAGGTGCGGAGTGGCGGCGCTGCAGGCCGTGCCCGTTCTCCTCTGGGGCGGGGGGAGCCGCTCCGCTGTGCGAGGAGCGAACAGTGAGGCGCTGCGCGGAACCGTCCTTCGGCGGCATCGCGGGGCGCTCCGCCCTGCGGCCGCGGTAGCTGGGCGGTTTGGGGTGCGGGTGCAGCCGGGGCAGCCCGAAGGGTCGCCTTCTCACCCGGCTCTGACAGGTGGGACGGTGGCCAGAAGCAAAGCAGTGGTGATGTCTGAGTGATGAAGCTTGAAAGCAGAGTAAAATATCCAGCGCTTATAAAGTTCTCTGACTCTGCTTTCTTATGGGTTGACGAATGCTCAGTGTGACAGCCCCGAGTTCCAGGCTGCTCCTCCGTGATGGGGGCCCCGGCCCCTTGCACTGGGACGGCTGTATCTGGCCTTGTCCTCAGAACCGGGCTGAGGTGGGGGCTCTGACCCTATGGTTGGGGTCTGCTGCGGAGAGTGGAGTCTCCTGCCCCGAGGCTTAAGTGGGGGCTGCCTTTGGGTTTGTGTACTGACTTCCGGCAGCTGGATGATAAAATTGGGCCAACTCATCTTCCCTGGCCGAGGGGGGCGGTGACGCTCCTCTCTTCCATTCAGCAGCGCTGTGACTGAATGTGTCACCTGAGCTGGAACTGGGGTTGTGAGTTCCTGCTCTTTTCTGCCTCATCTCTTCCTGCCTTGAATGGAAATCTTTCGTTTAGTAGTAATCCTGGCATGTATCTCCATTTATTCTCTAACAAAGTACTGATATTAAGCAGAGCAGGGCCTGCAAGCTGCTCTATGTGATGTCTCTTAACATGATATGTTCTTGGAGTGGGGGCTCCTACTGGGTGGGCTTTGGAGGTGGGGGCCTGGAGGAGTGCTCACTTCTTCTGCCTTGCAAGGGTGGTGCTGAGTCAGGCAGCCCTGCCAGGACCTAAGCCAGCCTCTGTACTCTCTAGCAGAAAAGTGGAAGGCAGAGGGGCAGCAGTTGTGGCAAGGTGGGGCAAATGGCTGCCTTGTTTTCCTTGAAATACTTTTGAATTATAATTAATATCCCCGAACTTTACAGAGTAGTTCCTTTATATTGCTGCTTCTTTGCTGTAAGCTCTGCTTTCGGAGAGGCCTTCCTTGGGTGTCTCTGCTGCTGGTCTTCCTCTCTTCTGTATTAATATTATTGTTCCCAATGAATTTTCAGTTCAGTCTCTGCCTTCCTGGTTCTGATGAAAACTCAGGAAGCTCTCAGACTTTGGGAAGGCTTGTCTTTGTGCTCCAAACCCTTTGCTTTGTAGGTGAGCACTTGATTTTGTGTCTGAAGTTGCTGAGCATGAAGGGCTCAGTGTCCCAGTTTGCTCCCAGCCCTCATTGTGCCCGCTCTGAGATCTGCTTCCTACACAAACATCAGTTCCTTACCTTCTCCCTGTGCACACTTCAAAAATCCCACCACTGCTCTGAGCTCCCACGTGTTCCTTCAAAACAAATGCAGAACGTGGGCCTGTTTGCTTGGGTAATTCTCACTAACTTTACTGATCCAGGAGGTAAAATATTTTGCCTGCTCCTATTCCTCTGAAGGCTTTAGGGACTAGAAATAAATCTCAAGTATCACCATCTTTTTTTAATTTCATGAGCTTATTAATGACTTTCTTATACTCACCAAAGTCTCGAGTGTCTGTGAGCTGAAGATCTTTGGTCTCAAATGCTGAAACATGCTTTTCCAGTTTTATGTGGCGGTAGCTATAAAAATTCCCTAGCTAAAATGGCTCAGGAGGGAACATGGTGATGGTATTTACTTTGCTGAGGAACACTGGTACTGTGGTTCCATAGTAGATGGTACATATCTTAGCTTTGCATCTCTCTGTTCTTCCACCAGTGGTAGTGTTGGGAATTTCTTTCCAGACCCCCCTGCCTTTAGAAATCTCAGGATGTTATATTTACTGCAGAACATAAATGTGTTCTGTTTCCAAACTTGTGTGTAAAATGGCTTGGTGACTTCAATAGTTCTATTTACTTTTCTTCTTCCCCTTAGTTAGATAGTCTGGAACCTCAGGAGCCCTCAGAGATTTGAACCTGTGTCTGTGTAGATATTCTCCTAAATTTCATGCAGGTGGTGCTCAGCTATTGAGCCAGAGTGCTGTTTTTGAAACCGAGGTGCAGAAATGCTGCAGAAACAAATGAAGATTGAGGTGCACTGGTGGTATGGAGTAAAAGCTGTGTGTTCTTCTGGTGTTCTGGGGGGTGTTGAAGTAATTTGGGATAAATGCAGCCTGTTCTGAGGGGTGCATCCTGCTTCTGTGAGGTGTTCAGAACCTTTCTTGTTGAGCTTTCTAAGCAAGGTGTGACACTGTCAGTATGTTCTGCTTTCATAGATTCAACATGAAAGCAGATGTGGTTGTGGGGCGGCTTACTGGTGTTGTTAGCTTATGTCTGGGTTCAAGAAGTTGAATTGCAGTTGAGTACAGCCACAGCTCTGCTGTGACAGGTAACAACAGCTCTCACTTCAGATGGCAGTTAGCGGGGTCCCGAGTGAAAAGCAACTTTCAGTCTTCACAAAATAAAATGTTCCAGTCGCAAAATGTAGCGGGTAAATAATCCAGTACCACAGGAAGTCCTACCTCAAAAGGTTTTTTTACATGGGAATTAGTTCCTTGGTCCATTATTGTACGTTAATAATATTTCCTTTATGGCAAGACCAAGGGCAGCCTGGGGTATCGCGAGGATGCAGATCTCAGCGTTAGGTCTGCCAGCTGTGTGCAGCACCAGGGGCTTTGGCTCCCCTGTGCTGCTGCTGAGCCTCTCACACGTGCTGTGGTGCATCCCAAATATGTGACAGACACCCCATCTCCGAGGTTGGGAAGCATCACCCCATGGAGCTGCTCGCTTTGCCTTGGCAGGGCTGGGAGCAGGTGGGAACTTCTTGCATTGCTGCGTGCTGGTATGACAAGGGGTCCTGAAATGCTTCAGAATTTGGAATCCTTTGTTCTCTGATTTTCTTCCATGTAGGAGCTTTACAGCCTCTGGGCTACCCACAATTTCCCCGTGCTTCTGGGCAGCCCGTGCTGGCAGCTGTCGGCATCCTGATGGGCTCACTGAGCTGATAGCAGCGTGCCAGTGCGTGCTGACGTGCTTGGTTTGATCCAGCGCTCCGTTCTCAAGTGGTGGGCACTGCTGCTGCAATGGGCTTTGCAGTGCCTGTGGGAGGGCTGGCACTGTGTGTAGGGCCTGCAGAAAGGGATGGCACAGCAGCAGGGAGACGGCCTAAGAACTCAGCTGGGAACTGCCGTTGTTACCAAGGACGATGGCTGTAGATGGGTCTGTGGGTCCTGTTTGCTTCCTGCTCTCCTGTCGCTGTGACTTCTGTGTCCTGGCAGCAGATTATATACAGGCACCTCCCCCCCATTGCCCTCAGAGGAGAACATTCCTAATGGACACAGGGTGCACTTCTGCCAGCTGTGCCTGCTGTGGTTATTTACCATCAGGAAAGCATGCGTTGCTGCTGCCTCAAACCAGGAAGGAGGTAGTTTAGGAAACTAAGATGTGCTGCCTCCTCATAAAGGAGTCATCAAGCTTTTTATGTAGAGTTTTAGGTGTAAATCAGCATTCAGGTGATCAGCTAAATAGGCAGACCTGTTTAAATGGCGGCTTGTTCCTAACTAGGTGCATTTCCAGGCCTGGCTTGTTTGGTTTCTTGCCAAGGAATACTGAAGGGAGGCACTGAAAACATGCCCTATGTAACTAAGTAGTTCCTGCAATGCCCAGCAGCTGTTGGTGAGCCGTCCCTGCAGCGCTGTTTGTGGCAGCGTGAGCAGATCTGTGCTGTGGCTGCTGCATGCCCTCCTGCTTTTCCTCGGTGCCAGCCCTGCCTGCCTTGTGCTGTGCTGTTCACGTGGTCGCTGGCTCAAATAACTGATAATAGAAGGAGGGAGGTGGTGCTGGTCTGAGGCTCGTGCTGCTGTGCGCCTGTGCTGCTCAGAGCAGGTTTGCAGGGTGCTGCCACCGCAGGGAATGCTCCTTGCACCCTTCCCAGATGTGTGTTCTCCCGGCTCCTCTGTGAGGCACAGGTCTTCATCTGTCCTCCATCAGATCAGGTCCTGTCTGCTGGGACGGCTGCTGGCTGGATCAAGACATCTGTGCTGGCTGAGCTGCCAGGTGCTGCCAGGTGAGGCTGTGTGCACTGACTTCAGCAGGGTTTGAAACTCGCCGGTGCGTATGTGAGTGCGCCAGGTACAGGAGCACACGTGGGGTTGTGTCGCAACTGTGAGGCCATCTGTGGTTTAAGTGAGCACTCTGTGAGGGCTCAGTCAGTCCTTCTGTCAGTTCAGGTCAGCACACTTCTGTTCATCAGTTAGTCACATTTCTCAGCAGATTTGGGTGCTGCAGGAGAAATACTGGGAGTGTAGGAAGAGGCTGGATTTGATGTTCCTAATGAGTGAGGATTTCTGTCGGTTTCCTGGTATGTATTTTTAACTACTGTTGAACTGAAAAAGGGCATAAGGTGTGAACACAGCTGTTGCTTGCCTTAATTTTGAATATTTCTGGAGCAGTTCTCTGTTTAGCTATGAGCACTTTGTAAGAAAGCGTCTTGACAGCATGGACTGCACCAGCTGAAGTCATGAGCTGCTTCTCCTGAGGCTTGTAGTGTCACAAACAGGCTGTAAGTTCCTAACTGAACTTAAAAGGAGGGGGAGTCAGTATGCAGAATTCCCATTAGGAGAGCTTTTGAATCCCAGGGTAACTTTTGATTCTTTTAGTATTTGGAGTTTTTATTTTATTGAATATCATAAATATATTATAAATATTTTATTAAATATCACAAAATATTATTTTTTTTGTTAAAAGACACTAAGGTCAAACAAGAGCTGTTTGATTCACTTACAGGATTTCAAAGGCATGGTGTAGATGCTCATATACTGAATTTACAATGGCAAAAAGTTCAGTTCTGTTAATTTCATAGATGCTTCTACTTTCTTCTTCTTTCTTGCCCCTCCAGGTGTTATTTGGTTTGTAGCATAGAGGCACTATGTACTCAGAGTGGAGATCCTTGCATCTTGTCATTCAAAATGATCAGGGTAACACCAGTGTGCTTCACAGCTATCCTGAGAGCGTGGGCAGAGAAGTGGCGAATGCGGTGGTGCGCCCCCTGGGGCAGGCTCTGATCACATCGTCGGTTGGGAGCGAGAGTTTGCTGAAAACAGACAAAGAAGTAAGTGATTCCTGTGGCCTCCATCACCACGGCCATAGTTCTCTTCGTGCTAAGGGTCTCTTTTAAGAGGCTGTAGAAAATCACTTTGATAAGCCAGGTTTTTGTAAATGTGCTGTGTTTTTAGGTTACCAATCTGTGTAATGTTTGTACAGCCAGTTTGTGACAACTGTGTGCTTCATGGCCTAGTAGGAAGCGATGCGTGGTGTTTGGTGCTTATCTGAGCTATTATACCCAAAGTGCAGGCTGAAGGGGTTGGGAAACTCAAAGGCTTGAGTTGGTTAACGCTTTAAAGCCTTTGTAGAGCAGCCTTTGTATTTGCTGAAGCAAGTGTGTGACTGTAAGTGTTGGTATTATATGAGCGTTTATTTGCTAGAATCTGCAAGTCTTCTACTACATCAGTTTATGATCATCCAGCTCTTTGTGTGTTCTGAGGAATTCTTTCTATGATTTAGACTGAAGAGATTCTTTTTGAAATCACAAGGCTGCATGAGAACACCGAGTCATTAACTTGAGCACGGTAGGGATAGGTTGCCAGTTGGACTTGGTGATCTTAAAGACTGTTTACAGCTTTAATGATTCGGTGATTCTAATTTGTGTGTCCATCAGATCAGTGCAGTTGTGTGATAAAAGAAATTCTCTTTACATTAGAGCTAGTGTGCGTTAATCATCCTTTACTGTCTAAAATTCACTGTTATTACCTTCACTTTATTCCTAGGTAAAATGGACGATGGAGGTGGTTTGTTACGGGCTGACCCTGCCCCTGGATGGCGACACCGTGAAGTACTGTGTGGATGTGTATACAGACTGGATTATGGCTCTTGTGTTACCTAAGGACTCGATTCCTTTACCAGTTATTAAGGAACCAAACCTTTATGTTCAAAGCATTCTCAAACATCTCCAAAATCTCTTTGTACCAAGGTGAGTGTCAGGGTAGTGGTGTTTAGGGTGGGAGAGATCCACAGGCATCCAGAGCCATGGTCGGCAGGCAGTGTGTCAGAAGGACGTGATGAGCCATGCAGGCTCTTGTTTAAGTGAGGCTGTTATTGTAGCCAAGTTACAGGGATTCACTCCATCCGTGCCTTGTTGCTTCTGTGTTTAGGTAACTAATCACTTCAGAACCATTATTATTACATGACTGGGGGGAGATTAAAAAAACAAACAAACAAAAAAACTAAATCATGTGACTGTCTGCTAATAATGTGTACAAATGAGGTAAGTAAAAGCATGTGGTGGCCATCCCATGCTGTGTTGACTTACAGCTTCTTCCATCACATCAGAAGAGTAGACACAAGCTGCTCCCTGCAAGTTTGCCAGAATTTGCTGCCTGTTAAATGAACATAATCGTATTGATCATGTTTCACTGATCATTTTCAAGGAGCCCTATGGAAGTGCTTGCTATCTATCAGCCTGACGTTACCCTGAACATCATTGGACAGTGATGTTCATACGCATACTCCTACCTCTTAGACAAAAAGTTGTGTTGCCTCGAGTGCTCTCAATGTTAGATTTCACGTGTAGTTTATGACAAATGGGCCTAATGGTGCAGAATACAGGCTGAATAAAGAAAAAGCTGTCTTAGTAGTTCCCTGTGAAACAGTACCTAGGTACTAGCTCCTGAAATTACTTCAGGTCTGGTACCTCCAGACCTCTGCTGAACAACCTACTTTGCAGAATGCTGCATCACTGTGAGTGGCCTTCAAAACCCTGCTTGGGTTACTTAACTTCATCTGAAGGTTGTACTGATAAAGGGCTTTGAAGAGGAATTCATACAAGCTCAAATGAAGAGGTCGTTCCTGTTTGATTGTTTCAAATTCTGCAACTTAATTGGAGTTTTAATTCCTCTAAATGCACAGTGGAAGATGTTTTAATTCCCTTTAAAGGACAGTCAGGGAAGCAGTGGAGGGAAGAAATTTAAAGAAAGGATGCTTCAGATCAGGTTTCCACAGAAAGCTGTCTCTACTGGTCATTTCTTGGTGACTACCCAAGGAAGGTGAAGAAACACAGTCACTCCTTTCCTGGGCTGCTGGCATCTAGCCTAGAGCTGGCTGATGCCTTGCTGGGCTTTGTCATGGGACTCCATAAGAATAAAACCAGAACTCAGTGTGTAGTAACCTGCTGTGAACCTGTGTCCAAGAAGAACAAAGAACTGCTGTCTTTCCAGTTTCAAGCCGTGACCCTGAATGCACAAGTTATGCACACCTTATGCACAAGTTTCAAATATTTTGCAGTTAATAAGATAATTTTCAGATGTCTTCAGTATCTTTGAATTGTTCACTCTCTTGGAGACATTGTCTTTTTTTGGGGAGGGCTTTGTTACACTGCTGATTCCTTTATCTGGGATCTTTAGTCATTGTTTCTCAATAAGCAGCTCTCAAACAGAGGAGATATTTAATCTTAGAATCCTTATTCATCAGTATCTTTTTCTTCTGAAAGCAATTGATGCAGGTTCTGGGACCTGTGCTCTCACTTTAAGCACCAGATCATTTTAACTAAACACAGTGATTATTTTTACAATGCAATAATACATACTGGTCTAAAACAGCATTGCGGTGGCACACAGAATTGATATAGAAGGTCCTTTGACTGCTGAGCACCTTCATGTGCTGTGTTGACATGTTTACTGTGTCAAAAACACTGGGTGCTGGAAAATGTGGCAGTTGTTAAAGAAGCCTTGAGGGATGTCTGTCCTGCTAGAGCTGGTGCAGGTCTTTAATAGGTGCAGAATGGAATTTGCTCAGTCCAGAAACACTTATTTCCTTGGCCCAGTGGAGAATGCACTCTTCTGTTTGATAAGCAGCTTTTTCCTGTGTTCCTTTGCCATGTGATAGAGGCCCTGTTAACAGTCAGTTTTGTTTCCTGTGTGCTGCTGACACTACTACTGGTCTATGCTTCTGCTCCAACTTCATATATTGAGATTGATGCAGGATGGCAGATGACGTGTGATGTCTGCTGAATGAAACAACTGACGTCTAGATACAGGCTGAGCAGAGAAATCATGACTGTAAACCTGTGTGCACACCACAAAGCATAAGATCTCTCTTATTTTTCTTTCCCAAGCTCTTGACATGTATCTGAAAGGCTGTGCTTGGTGTTTGTTTTGTTTTTTTTTTTCCTTCTGTTGTACCTGGTGCCTTTTCAGGAAGAAGATCTTAAAGTGTTTCCTTCAGTTGAGCAATGTAGAAACATGATGTAACAAACATTAAATACAGAATTATGTTGTGTGCAAATTCTTTGAGAGAAAGGAAGGACTCATTTTCTTACATGTCTGTGTAGAGGGAGAAGAGTCTACTTTTGGTACCAAGCTGCTGCGGGTGCCTGGTGCTGATAAGCACTTGTACATGCTTACCCAGGAACTCTTGTAGCAACCTATGCTACAATATACTGATATACATTGGTAATATATTGAACTATTTCCTGTAAGTCTCCAAAGTAGCAGGAAACACGAAGCTCTAATTGCAAACCTGTGTCATGTAGAGGTTTGGGGTTACAACAGCTTCCTTCCTTGGCCTGGTGTCCTGACAGTGCAGCAGATGCTTGGCTGCCTTAGAGGTGGTGGTTCAGAGTTGTGGTGTATCAGTGATATGTACTCACCAGATACAAAGCAGATGTGTATCATAAACCATTTTAGTTTGAACATCCAGCTGAAGCAGCTGTTTACATGTTCTGTATGTTCATGAAATAGTGTGGTGCTGACAAAATAAAAACACTGGAAGAAGAGCAAGTCCAACTCCTTTTCTTCTGTCTGTCAGACACTAAGGAACAAGTGCATCTTTCCCTGCAGCACTGACCTGTCTGCCCTGCTGACTGGAGGACTTCTTTTCATGATGTAGTTGAGCACTCCTCAAGGCCCCCCCGGCTGTCCATCTCTAGCAATGCTGTGATGCTCAGGGAGCGTAGCACACAACTTAACTGAGGTAGTTATTACTCTTAGGTAAGATTTCAGTTTGCTTGAACCATGGAAAGAAATCATGAAAGCTCTCTTTTCCCTGCCCTGTGGAATATAGGGTTGTAGACATGGCCCTGGGGTCTGCTCTCAGGTGTCTGGAATCTTTTGAGAGGCCACAGGATGTGCGGCTGGCCAAGCATAACAGGCCTTTCTGGTAACTTCTAATTTATGTATAAAATTTTGGGAGCAATTCTTGCTGAGTGTAGGTGTGGGAACCATAAGGACGGGTCCTGGAGAAATCTCTGGAAATAAGCCTGCAGAATGTTGCAGCTGAAGTTTGCCATTCAATTGACTTTGTCGAGAAAAAAGAACTGATAAAGGGGTGAAAGCTACGGAGCTGCCTTTCCCACTTCTGTTCAGAAGTTTCCCATTAGTCACCAGGAGCTCCTATTTGTACATCCCTTAATATTAATTCATTAAAATCTTAGGGAATCAATTCTTGAGACAGGCATTGAAACATAATGAATGACAAAATAAGGGTATTCTTTGCTTAAAAAGTTTGCTTTGTTGCATGGGGGGAAAAGCAGTGCCATAACAGAGGCTTGCTTGTCCCCAGCTTTGTTGCTTTACCAAGATGATCTGTTAGGAGCAGCAGCACAAACAGCCCCTTGGCGTTCTGAACTGTGACTGCTCCACAGTTTTGCTCTAGGCACTGTCTCTTTGTAATCTTACTTCCAGTACTGGCATACAGTATATTTATACTGCACAGATAAGAGCTGGTGATCCTTTTAAAAAGCATCTATCAGTACGTGATCTCAATTTGAGCTGCTGTTCCCTGAAAATAGCAGATCCTTGTCTAGTGGATCTGCACGTTCTTGAGAGCTCGCTGTGTGAGCCACTCGTGGTTTGCATTGCGCTGGCAGTGCTTGGGCTCTAGCAGTGCTGCTTAGTGGGTTGGTGAATGGTCATACCTTTGTGATTCTCTTTATTAGCAACTGGTAGGATGACTTAAGCTTACAACTTGAAATTTAAGCTTGCAAGTAAAAAAATGGCTCACATATATCGCACGCTTAAATCAGTAAGCTCTTTCATTCTTCATTCTTTCACTCCTTAAGTTTTTGGGCGTGCTTAGATGTGTTTACCAGTGTCCTCGGATACTCTCCAGAGCACTTCATGTAACTGTTCTGTCCCCATTCTGCCCTGCGCAAACTGAAGAGAGCCTGCTGCGCATGCAACACCTTGTGCTGCGTGACTCAGCAGAGGCAGTGTGTAACTGGTTCTTTAAGTAGGGAAAACTTCATACTGCCAACTTCTTTCCTTTCTTCCCTCCTTATCCCTTCTTCTTTTAGTCTAATTTCCGTTTTTAATGACTTTCTTCAAGATTTTCTTTTTCCTAAATGCCAGAAATTCAAGGCAAGAATTGGGTGTGCATTCGGAAGCAAGAGGTGAACAAGGAAGAAGTTTTAACATGTTTTCTTCTAAATTCAACACTTTCTTCTCACTTAAATATCAAACAATGAAAGGTGTCTTAGCATTTGCATTGTTTGTCCTAGTAAATATTTTCTTGTTGTAAGACATTATACTTTCTCTGGTTAAAATGTTCACTCTGTGTCGGTGAGTTTGTGTAAAGAAAAGCATTACGGTACACCTTGTGCTTGTTAAGACAGAGTTAGGATGCTCAGAGGCACAGCTGTGATGCATACACGCAAATTAGTTCATGTTCTTGGCTCTGGTTCAGTCATACTGATGTTTCCTCTTATAATTGCTCAAAGTTCTGATTACTGAACATGCTGCTCTATGGTGTATTCCATTTCCTCTTTGGAGACTCAAGTAATGTTTTCCTTCTCTTGCAGGCCAGACCCAGGATCTAGTCAGATTAGGCTGTGCCTGCAAGTTTTGAAAGCAGTCCAGAAACTGGCTCGTGAATCAACAATTATGGCAAGAGAAACGTGGGAGGTTTTGTTGTTATTTCTTCTTCAGATTAATGATACTCTTCTAGCAGCTCCAACTGTGCAAGGTTTGTGTTAGACTTTCATTTGATCCAATTACTAGAAAATGCTTTGGCTCTGCTGGATGTTGAACTGCTGTGGGAATTTGGGGAAACGTGTTAAAAGCTTGTAGTAGCCACCAGAGTGCAATAGCTCACTCCTAATTCTGCTACAATACTCCAAAATAAAGCACTGCCAGAGAAGATTGAGTGCTTCAGAGCTGAGTCAGTTTTCCAAAATATGTTTTTGCCAAACAGTGGACTCAGTACACAAAGTTTGTAGTGAAGGGTGTAGATAACATTGTTCCCTGTTAGTTTCACTGGAAGCCATACGTGCCTTCCAGTTTGGCCTGCCTGCAGAAATTACCTGCCTACAGTTATCAGTTTATACCTTACTTAAAATGAATAAGACATCAAATATTCTGTGTGCAGAAGAAGACAGCCTAAGGTCAGTAGCTGAATTCCCAGTATCTGTTAGTGACACGAGCATGTGGCTGGGTTTTCTCTGTTACCTTTGGGCTTGTAAAAAGTTCTGTATGAAGCAATGGGGAATTACCTTAAATGATGAAAAATATGATGAAAAGATTGGGAATCTTTACAGTTATTGCTTAAACTGAAATCTAATATGTGAGATGCAATTGTGGAGAGGGTCCAGAGGAGAGCCAAAAAGATGATCAGGGGACTGGAGCAGCTCCCCTATGAACACAGGCTGAGGGAGCTGGGCTTGTTCAGCCTGGAGAAAAGAAGGCTGCAGGGTGACCTCATTGCAGTCTTTCAGTACCTAAAGGGAGCCTGCAAACAGAAGTGGAATCAACTCTTGGAAAGGGTGGATAACAGCAGGACAAGGGGAAGTGGTTTCAAGTTGAGGGAGGGAAGATTGAGGTTGGATGTCAGGGGGAAGTTCTTTACAGAGGGAGTGGTGAGGTGCTGGAACAGCTGCCCAGAGAGGCTGTGGTTGCCCCGTCCATCCCTGGAGGTGTTCAAGGCCAGGTTGGATGGGGCCCTGGGCAGCCTGGTCTGATATTAAATGGGGAGGTTGGTGGCCCTGTGTGTGGCAGGGGGTTGGAGCTTCGTGATCCTTGAGGTCCCTTCCAACCCTGGCCATTCTGTGATTCTGTGAGGGTTGTGAGAGTCCTTTAGTATCAAAATAATCCTTGAGGAGATGTCTGAAGTTATTTAGATTGAGCACTCGCTAAAAGTATGCTTCATTTCTGCTATAAGGTGGCATTGCTGAAAATCTGGCTGAGAAGCTTATTGGCGTGCTGTTTGAGGTGTGGTTACTGGCCTGCACACGGTGCTTTCCAACGCCACCTTACTGGAAAACTGCCAAAGAGATGGTGGCCAACTGGCGGCATCACCCTGCAGTAGTGGAGCAGTGGAGCAAGGTCATCTGTGCTCTTACCTCCAGGTAGGAGAAGTTGTGCACAAAGGGATAGACACCTGCTGCTACAATCACAGCTTGATTTCTCTGGAGTTTCGTGTTTCTGGAATGCACAGTGATCCCAGAGTGAATGTGCAAAACGAAGTGCTTAATAAGAGATTTTACAAATGCTCTTGGCTCTTATGGTTTGGGCACGTATGTATTTTCATTCTGCAAGTGAATTGTCTAAATGGATTTGTCCCTGTTACTGCATAATCTCAGCCTTCCTCCAACAATCAGCATTTTACTCAGTGTGAACGTGTATCAGTCTCCATCGCTGACTTTTATATTATGTTCTGTGAGGAATGAGTCATTAGCATTAGTGTAGAATTACAATTTGTGTGTGTGACAGGCATCACCGAGATGATGAGGTGCTTATCACCACTGAGCTGTGCCTGTGTGTGAGGCATCTCCTGCTCTGTAAAGCTGCAGCGATGCTATGGGCTGGCTGTGGGGATGTGAGGGGCCAGTTGCAGGCTGCAGACTTCTTGCACAGGAGCAGCACCAGGCCACGCTGTGAGGAACTGGGGGCTGCAGGGGAGGCTGGGCTGTAGCAGGAAGCCTCAAACAGTGAGGAGAGCATCAGTACTGATAATGCTGGGCTCTTTGTGCTGTGAAGTCTTTGTGGGGCAAATCTCATCCTCCTGGAGATGTTGAAGTGAGGATCAGGGGGATGAGTCTCCCCTGAGACTTATTAGTGATTTGCATGAAAGTTTGAAAATGTATTAAAATTAAATACTGAAAACTTGCTTTTTAATTACTTATTAAAAATCAAGTGTAAATAGATGTTTCCAGATTATGCAGATAATTGTTAAACCTTTGTGGGAAACAAAGCCTCAATGCAAGTTTTGTGTATTTCGCACACTACTTCTTTAGCTATTTCTTGTTTGTTCGATGCAGCATTGCGTAACAGAAGATATTTTATGATTCACTGATCTGAAAAGCGCAGCTCTGAATCCAAACATGCGTTGGCATTTCTGTTCCATGCACTTCATGCCCAAATTTTATCCTTCACTGTTGACTAACAGTCTTAGCTCTGTTGATTCACAGTAATCTGCAGGATTTCTGTAATGTTTATTTTGCTGATCTGCTGCATAGTAATGTTGGTTTATATCTAGCAAACTGAACTCCTCTGGTGCTAACTTTAAGTGTAGTGCATTTAAGATGAATTTTTAATACTTGAATAAAATAAAAGCTTCAAACAGTTGAAGTGCTGTCCTAGTGAACTGTTGTCTGAATTGAGTTGTCATCCATCAGCCACAAGTAAGGATCTCAAAGCCAGATAGCAAATTATATTTGGAACTTCGTACCCTTATGCAGTGTTAATCTGTGTCCATGGCTGTGATGAATAAAACAAGATCTCTTGTGCTGCCATACCAATAGGAACTGCTTTTCCCCATATAGGGTGCTGTAAGTCTGTTTTAACTGATTGTGCATTACAACTTATTTCTGTTCGTAGTCATTCTTGAGTAAGTCTCGAATTTCAATTAAGATCCTATCAGCTCCCTGGAGGAGCTGGTTTCTTGCAGCCCATACAAGAGGAACTGTGAAGCAGTGTTCTTCTGCAGCACACAGATGTGGGGCGTGACTTAGCAAGAAGTGCAAGCCAAAGCTGATGCTAGGATTCACCGGGCGGTTGATTAGGTTCATGATGAGGTTCTTGGGTTTTTTTTGCAGCAGAACCCTATAGGAGCTTGCCTTTGGGGCACCAAGTGCAAATGGGTGCTGGGGCATCCAGCGTGGCACACTGCAAAGTGGCTTCTGCTCAATATGGGAATGTGTATTTCTGTTTTGGACTTAAAGAAGGCCTCATCCTAAAGTTCATCTACTTTTCTGCCCAAACAAGTCATCATGACAGACTGTGGTTCCCTACATGCTGTGACTGTCTTTTGCATGAATTGGCTGCAGTGAATGGTAACTCAGGCTCTTTAACTTCAGGAGTAAGCAGGACTTCCGCAACACCTGAAGTGAGAAATGGTGCTACAAGACCATTTAACTTAGGGAAACCAAAAAGTAGTTTGTGGAAATTGTTAGGAATTTCAGAAGGCACTGCTTTTCTCTCTTCCATGCTTTTAGAAAACACCAAGATTATGCTGGTCAGGGAAGTGAGCAAAGTTTGCAGAGCTGGGGATGAAGCAGGAATCAAATCAGACAGCAGCAGCTCATAGAGGCTAAGCATCAAGGATCCCAAAGCACTTGTCTCAGCCATTGTCCTCGTGGTATCGTGTTGCTGTAGTTCTCTTGTGGCCTCCTGCTCATTTCTTGGAGGCTTTGATGCACTGTTACATTTTGAGGAGTATTAAGAGCATGACAGACGTGTCTGACTTGCTTTCTAGATTGCTGCGTTTCACGTATGGACCTTCGTTTCCTCCGTTTAAAATTCCTGAAGAAGATGCTGGTCTGATTCCTCCTGAAATGGACAATGAGTGCATCGCACAAACTTGGTTTCGCTTTTTACACATGCTGAGGTATTGTAGCTACAACCATCCATTCTGTGTGTTCTTGCATCGTTTCTGAAGATTTTCAAATGAAAAATTTCTCTGGAGGCTGCTGAGCTTGATGTACTGAAGTAGAACAAAGAGTGAGAAATGCATGGTACAAGAGCCCTGCAGCAGTGCAGGGCAAAGCTGTGGTGGGCCGCTCCGTTCTCAGCACACCACTTTGTGTTCTGAGTTAACAAATTCAGTTAAAAAGTGTTTTTTGCTATGTGGCATTTTGGAGGATCTTAAAAACAGGACTTCAATAGAATTGTGTTTCTCTGAGCTAGCAAACAGGAAGAGCAGAACAGTAACTGAGATGTGCGCTGCTTCCATTTGCTTTGCAGGGCGTTAAATCTAACCTACAAAAGATTATTTCTAAAATGGGTGTATCTCTTTGCTTTTATAAGGAAAGCTTCATAGGTTAATTTTAACATCTACATTATCCTTCCTCAAATTTGTAGCAGAACCAAGTGGGTGCTTTGTTCTGAGGAGTGTTGGAAAGGCATCACATTCATGTTCCCAATGGACAGCGTAATTGACTTTTTCCTCTAAAATCATCCTAACGCTTATTTAGGTTTAAAATTTACTTATTTTAATAGTTAAAATTTATTCTTCATTTCTGAGAGCAGTTTTGCGTTTCTGTAGTGTCTTCCCAATCCAGGCTTGATGGTGCAGCATTTGTATTTGGCAGGAAAAACCTCAAGTTTTTACAACCTACTCCCTCACTTTCACTTTATTTTTTTCTGACAATGTGTAATTTATCACTTACCCTTTGGGAAGAATCTTAACTATGTAAGATCTTAAAAATGGAGCTCAGAAGTCCTGAACACTACTGCAACTGCAGGATTGTTCTCTGCAGGGTGTGCTCTTGCTCTCTGGGTCTTAATTTATTAAGATTATTTGAATGTTTAAAGCTTTTTAAAATAGAGAATTTTTTGTTGTTGTTTTTTAAATGTTTGAACACAGTGTGCCACTATTAAACCAGGAAGGAAAAATGGACTTCCGTGACTCCTGTGATGGAGTAAAAGCAACAAAAAAGTCTCTATTAGAAAAAATACTGGCAGAAGATGCTGACCTTTTGAGGGTTTTTTATTTGATGATCTCACGTGTTGCTGTTAATTAATTGCCTTAAAGCATTACATGTCTAAGCATTCTTGAAATCTTAAAAACTGTCCTTAAACTGACTGAAACATATCCTCTTTTTTTCTGTGTGCAGTAATCCTGTGGATTTGAGTAACCCAGCCATTATTAGTTCTACCCCCAAATTTCAGGAGCAGTTTCTGAATGTGAGTGGGATGACTCAAGAGCTGAATCAGTACCCCTGCCTTAAGCATCTGCCTCAAATATTCTTCCGTGCCATGCGTGGGATCAGCTGTTTAGTGGATGCTTTCCTAGGTAATGCTTTCGACCTACCTGTGGGTAGCTGGGAACAGTAACTGGTCACTACTTTCTTCTCTTTTTTTAATCTGGATTCTTCAGAAAACAGATGTGACCATTTGTCATTTGCGAGTACAGCCTAAAATTGGTAGGGAAGGGACCTGAAGCCACTTGTAAATAACTGTCTGTGTACACAGTAGTTATATTTGAAAGTTGCAGTCGACCTTAGTGTTAAACGAATGCCAAAAATGTTTTCATTAAATGTCGAGTCCAGCATCAATGTCTCCCCCCCAAATAAGGCTTCTTTCTCCTTTTATCTGACCAGCAATGCAAGTGTTACACTTTAGCATGTTGTGAGCACTGACAACTTTGCTTAGTGACTTTGTGGCAGCAGCTGTGTGCGGTGCCCATTTCTTGGTAGGTATTGATTTTTGATTGGCATCTTCAGGTACTTGTTCTGCAGCTGGCAGTTGCCCCTAGTTCAGGAATGGTTTGAATGCTGCTGCTGAGAAGAAGCTTTGTTTCTTTGCATCTCCTGGTAACGGAGTTGTTCAGGTTCCCTGAAAGATGAGGTTAGATATAAGCACTGACTGCTAATTTTTAAGTAACATTGTAAAGCACTTGAAATGTAAGGCAGTATTCTAAGTACCCTTCAGTCTTACTGAAAATTCTTCAGAGTTGATGTGCTATTCTAAGGTCAGAAAAGCCACCTGTCTCCTGCTTTTTTTCTTTAAATGTGTGCAAGCAAGTGTTGCCATGTGCCAGAAGTGTGAGCTGCTACTGGACTGCAGTTGAGCAGGTACAGAAACTGTGCAGGAGAAAAAATAGGCTGAGAAAGTAGGCTCTGTTGGTACCCTGTTCCCCTGTGCAAACAAGCTTTGGTTGCTGTGTTTTTCACTTTGGTAGGAATAGCACTGTTTAAAAAGCTACCAAATGGCAGAAAAGAGCCGATGGTCAGTTGTCACTTCCACAGCCTGGGGCTGTTCTATGAAGGGATTGTGACTTTTAAAAGGGGTTGTGGGTACTGTGCTTCTTTCAGATTTCTTGCCACCAACTTTAGCTATCATTAAAATTCCTTATTTACTAGTACTACATCTGAGATACTGAATGTTCAGTAGTCAAATACTATTGGAAGTTGTGAAAGGAAAACTATATATAGGAAAGGCCATATTTTGCTTCATAAAAACATCTTTGTATTACTCTATCACTCTACTAACCTGTGACGAATTTGAGAATCTCCACTGAAATAATAATAAAAGAAATAAAAATTGCAATCTGAGCATTAACAGGGAGAGAGTCCTTTCCTGTCTGTGCAAGCTGAATTAAAAAAAACAACAACAAAAAAGCCCAACAAAGAAATGTAGCTCTTGGGCACAGCAGAGCTGCTGGTGATATCAAATACAGCACACACACACACAGTGTGTCCTGGGCAGATAGATGAATTAAGCTAAGGCTAACGAGAAATCCTGTTACTACACCAACATTGAAGCACATTGTTTTTATCTTGCCCTCTCTGGTACACGCTTAGGTGATGTGTGCATTTGGCAAAGTGTTCCACCTGACTTTCCACCCCCTCAAATAACAAATTGTACCAAAGGAATAAGTTTCATAGTACATACATCACCTCTGCTTGGGGCCCAGCAGTAATGGTTCAGCAGGAGTTCATTGTTCTGTGCTGTGTACATGAAGCATTTGAGTATTTCAACGTAGTCAAAAAACTGTGTCCAGTCTTCAGACCTGCTGCAGTTTTGCACTTAGTTTTTCAGATGGAGGATGAGGGGCTGGTATTCACTGAAATGGGAAGAAGTGCTGTTTGTCACTGCAAGTTTGGCAGAGGGAATTTCTAAGCTAGTTATTTCACAATCTGTGACTAGAAAGAGTAACTTCTCACACACTTCAAATGCTTCCCCCAGGCTGGGCTGTGTGAGATTGCTGATCTAACTTCTTGCTGCCAGAAAATTATAGCTTGCTCAGCTTTCTTAGCCATCCTTTGCACTGGCTGTAGTGTTTGTTCAGTGAGCTGAAGCAGCTCACTAAAACAGCAGAATGCTGCACTGTGTATTGGTTTTGTCTTAGTTTAGTGAGCTGACTGAGGGTCAGACATCCTAGAGCTGCCTCAGAATGGGCTGTGGGATGTAGGTTGGAAAAGAAGGGCAAAGGTGAGGTGCAGCTGATGTTTGGCAGGAGTGAGCTGTTAAATTGGCTTTGGCAGGTGACCCTTGCACCTTTCCCCCTGCCTGCTCCTAGGCTTTGTACTCCTGTGTGCATTTTCCCAGGTTCTGAAGTCGTGGTTTTCTGTTCAACATTCGTTTATCTAACGCAACCAGAATTCTCTTCTGTTTGGGCATTTATTTTTGCCAGGAAAAGGGAAAAATGTCTTTCTTGTTATGTCTGCTCATGGAAGTGGGGGCGGAGGGAAGGCTAGTTTGTTTACAGAAGGTCCAAAGGCTGAGTAACTGCGCTGCTGTGTGAGCTCATAGAAGAGGTGCTGAGAGCTTGCTGGATTCTTGCAGGCATTTCACGACCCCGCTCAGACAGCGCACCGCCCACCCCAGTGAACAGGCTAAGCATGCCCCAGAGCACCGCCATCAACACCACCCCACCCCACAACCGAAGGCATCGGGCCGTGACTGTGAATAAAGCAACAATGAAAACCAGCACTGTAAGATTTCGCATTCTGTCTTTATGTACTTGTCCTGTCGGAGGGCTCCCTTGGTCGGAGGAAGTGATTTTCATTTTCCTGGGAGTTGATTTGTTCTTCCATTCAAACAGGCAACCACTGCACATGCTTCCAAAGTGCAGCACCAACCATCCTCTACTTCTCCGCTCTCTAGCCCAAACCAGACAAGTTCTGAGCCACGGCCACTGCCAGCTCCTCGCAGGCCAAAGGTTAACAGCATCTTGAACCTCTTTGGATCGTGGTTATTTGATGCAGCATTTGTTCACTGTAAACTTCATAATGGAATAAACAGAGACAGCAGCATGACTGGTAAATATTACTGAAAATGTGCTCTTTTTTTTTTTCTTCTTGTTTTATTGACATTTCCTACCTGCAAGATTAACATAATAGCGTAATCAATAAATAAAAATAAAGCCTTAAGTGCTTACAGTGGTTAACCCCTCCCAGCTGAACCAGCACCAGTAGGTGTCTGGAGGCTGTTAAATTAAAACGAATAAATAAATCGATTACTTTTCACAATTAAGCACTCACTTGCTCTAACAAGTAGGGTGGTTGTAATTGTGCTAGTGGGAAAGATTTTATACAGAGGGAAATAGAGGCAAGAGTCCGTTTCCTGGTTTGAAATCCGCCTGAATATATCTTAGAGTAATTGCAAATTTTAATGGTGACTCATGTTTGTAAAGTTGTCAAACTTCACTGCAAATACCACACAAAGTGATGCTTCGTGTTTTTGGAGAACATTGTGAGCAGATGATTCTTAAAGTAGCAAGTTGTTTTCTTTCAATGATGGTTGTTACATGTTCCCATGTAAGACGTGATACCTTGCTTGTCTGCAGTTCTCAAGTGCTAAATTTATTTTGTCTGCTACACTTTGTTCGGCTCTAGAAGTTAGATGTTTTGAGATATGATAGAAGTAGGGCTCTGCTCAGAGAGGCTTTCATGCACTCTCTTTCCTTGAGTGATATATATTCAGAAAAAAAAAAACAAAAACTCTCAGTCCTTGCATGTTTCCTGTTCTTTATATTGTACTTCAGATGTCTTCTAAAGCTTTAGAAGACATCTGTTCATCAGAAGTTCACTGGCCAAAGTAAGAAAAATAGATAGAGGTTTGTTGTAGCAGGTTGGATTTCTAATAATACTCAATATTAGTAGTTAAACTAATGAACTTCCTTGTTCACTGTATCACAAATCACATTCTTCCTCTGTGCAGAAATGATGGGTTTAGGATTTGGGATATCCCAAATCCATTTTAAAGTAAGCACTGAAGAAGGATCTGTGCTGCTGAAACTCTACAGAGAGGCACCGTTCCTCTGGAGACCTCAAGGTCAGCTGCTCAGAAAACATGGCGAGTCTACTAAGGAGCTAACCTCATGGAGTTCCTGTTGACTTGAAGTATCAGCATCTTCAGAGTCAGATCAAAGTCAGAATTGAAAGGCTTATTTTCTAGGAGTATAATCTGTGAAACCGGATGCCTCCAAGAGAAATCTTTTCCATCTTGAAATTTTTAAGGTGAAAGGTGCTGCGTGGGACTGATGAGATGGGCCAGAAGGGCTGTATGCTGTGGTCCCTCTCCATCACACAAGTGGGGCCCATCATACTTGGTGTTGTGCCCATTCACTTGCCTCTGCTTATTCTACTCAATATAGAATCTTTAAGGTTGGAAAAGACCACTGAGCTCATCCATCTAGTGTAACCGTCATGCCCACTAAACCACATCCCTCAGTGTCACGTCTTCATGATTCTTAAACACCTCCAGAGATAGTGACTCTCTAACTACTTCCCTGGGCAGCCTGTGCCAATGGCTCACCACTTTCTGAGAAGAAACACCTCCAGATCCTTTTTCTGTGTGCAACTTTCCAGCCACTGTGCTCCAAGCCTGTAGCAACGCATGGAGTTGTGATCAAAGGGCATGGCTCTGCAATTGGTCCTACTGAAGCTCATGCAGTTGGCCTGAGCCCATCGATCAGCCTGTTCAGACCCCTCTGTAGGGCCTTCCTACCCCCAGGCAGGTTGACACTTCCTCCCAGCTTGGTGTCATCAGCAGGTGTCCTGAGGATGCACTCAATCCCCTCATCCAGATCATCAGTAACACCTTTTAACAGGACTGGCCCCAATACTGACTGCTGAGGAGCACAGCTCTCCTGACTGGCTGCAATTCCATTCACCACCACTCTCTGGGCCCAGCCCTGCAGCCAGTTCTTTACCCAGTGAAGAGTGTAGCTGTCCCAGCCACGGGCTGCCAGCTTCTGCAGGAGGATTCTGTGGGAGACAGCATGAAAGGCTCTGCTGAAGTCTAGGTGGGCTTTGGCAGCAGCCTTTCTTGCATCCACCAGGCAGGTCGCCTTGTCATAAAGGAGATGAGGTCAGTCAGGCAGGACCTGCCTTTCACGAACCTGCATTGGCTAGACTTGATCCCTTTGGTGAGGCTTGTGAAAAGAGATCAGCAGAGAAGGGACAGCTAGTTGTCACAATCCCTGTGCTTAGGGAAGGGGACAAAAGGAAATCTTGTTATGTGTTTCTTCGTCTATGGGTTAGCTATGCCTGTATATCACAGTCCATCTCCCATTCTCAACAGCTTAGTACTGTAAAGCTTATGTCACTAGCTTGGATGCGTTTTGCATGTTTGGCACTGTTATTGATAAATCTTGTGTAAGCAGCAGGAAGAAAATCCTCTCTGCAAGACCAAGGAGGTCTCACTGCCCTGGTACACCTTTCCAGAAAGGTGACACAAACTTCCAACAAATACAGATATGATGTGATTTCTAAATAAACGTTCGTGAGCTACCCTAGAAGAAACCATGAGGGATGAGATGCAGTTTCAGATTCTACTTCAGAAATCACTTCAGCTCCTTTAAGTGCGCCCTACTGATTCACAGGGACTAGCACTTCACCTTTCTCCCATCTTACAAGACATCTTTTTGATGAGCTTTATGAATTAAGGAGTAGTTGGTCAAGGCCCAGGCAAATTAGTAGATATTGCTTTTCTAGACCTTTTGCTTTTATTCTAGATGTGGTGCCTCGTGTTTCTGATTTCTTCAACTCTTTCACCTCCTGAAGGAAGTCAAGAAGAGCAAGAAAGGCATTTCTGAGATGGAAAAAACATGCAACTTCTTGTAGGTTTTGAGCTGAAAAATATTTGGGTGGATGGGAGAGTAACCCAGCTGGCTCTAGTTGATCTTGCTTCAATTTGAGCAGGGTGCCCAAGTAGGTGGTCTCCACACGTTCCAACTTCACCTATTCTGTGGTTATGTGAAAACAAATACTGTCCCGCTGTATAATCAATGAATGTCATGTATCATCAATGAATGTTATATAAGGATGTTATAATTATGAAATAAACAAGAGAGTTTGGCAAAGCAGATTATAATAACAAGAAGAGAATAGATAGAACGCTTACCTGCATCCTGGGCTTGCTGTAAAACTCCAGAGGAGGGAATCTCCGGAAGAGATCCCTCCCCACTGGTAATCAGCTCTTCAATGGGTCTGGGGGAGGTGCAGCCAGCCTCCACCCTTCCAGCAGCACGGGAGAATCGCCTTCACCTGTGCTCCCAGGGCTGACGCATTGCTCGCCTCAGGTGATCATTCAGAGGTTCAGGCTGTCATTCAGCAGTTCCCACACACCCACTCTTTTCAGTTTTCTGTTATTTCCATGGTAAAAATTGTACTAATCTAGAATCCTGCAATAGTTATCATAGATATTTCACATTTGCAGTTGTAGTGTTTTCAGCCTGTGTCTGTCTGGGAAAAGAGAGATTGTAGAATTATTTTCTCTGCTGTGAGGTTAGCTGGAGGTAATCTGTATACAGCTGAATGTTGATAGGGATTCATCACCTAGAAAGCAACCTTCCTGTTTGCTCTGAGCCTCCTCCTTCCAGATGGTGTTTCATAGTTGTTTCGATTCTGAAGACGTAACAGAGATCTTGGCATCATCAGTGCCAATGCTCTTGTGCCTGTTCTATGTCAGGTTTTAGCTTCTGCACTGAAACCTTAAAGGTAAAGCTTTATAGAAGGCAGCTACTAAACATTATTCTGTATCATGGGAAGAGAGGAAAAATGTTCTGTTCTGTAATGTGTTTGGCATGGAAAAGAACTGGGTGTTGCTGGAACAGTCTGTAGAATTGGATGGCTCAGTGATCGTTATTTCAGTGTGGCACGGATTGCTCCACGTGATAAAACTCCTGAAGAAATCCATTGGGAAGGCTTTGGGAAGATAGTCCTGAATATGGCAGCTCTGGGGAGTGCATGATGTGCTGAACTCCAGCTGCATGTGTCGGACACGCCGGGCTGTAGGAGTGTGTTGCTCATTGCTGTCCTCAGCAAACGGTGAGGACTGGGAGGAACCCATCAATCCTTTGTGCCATTGGTTCAACGAGAGGATCTTCCGGTGGGATGGGCTTGTTCTTAAACCTTGTTCCTAAAGAAGTCACAAGTTTGCCAGCCACGTGTTGTAAAGTGGTGGGGGAGTTGTGCTGCGGATGGTTGCTGGCATCACCAGGTGCTCTTGGGCCTCGAAGCAATCTCAGAGTGTTCAATCCTCATCAGCTTTGGCCCTCCTCTTGTTATTGTGGTGCCCCAAAGGCTGTATTGGTCTAGGAGGCAGGTAGGAGAAGCCCTGGTGAGGGAAGTTTTGAGTATTGCTGAGAGGCTTGGCATAGGTCTTGATCTGACCCAGTGTGTGGAGAATGTGAGCTATGCAGATTGTGCTCATGATGCCTCCTACTGGAGTCCTTTTACTCTCTCATCTGTTTCTGGAGATTGTTTTTGAGATGCTGATCTTTCTAGTGGTGCTCTGGCTTTATTTCTGCTGTGGAAGGTTGTTGGTGGAGCTGATGGCCAGGGGAGGCATGCCCGTGCTGGTTTGGGTTGTTAGCAGCATGGCATGCAGAGGACGGAGCAGTAGTGCAGTCAGGAGCTTATGGTTTGGAAGCTTATGTTTGAGGAGGCTCTGTAGGTAAGTAATCTGCCCTTGTGAGACATAACCGGGTCACTGAAGTCGTGGGGGGAGCCCACGTGCAATGGAACGTAGGCAAATGCACCTGAGCTGGGAAGGGTTAATAATCCTTTTAAATACTGATGTATGTCGATATGAACAGATCTAAATCTTGCTAGTATTTTGTAACTTTTTGTTCCTTGTTTTGCATGATACTTTCAAAACCATAATTTTGGACCTGAATGCCGATTTCCTGTGTGTTTAACAAGCTTGCTGTATCATAAAGCTTTTAATCTATTTTTTAAACAAGCTAAAAGCTTCTTAACTTATATTACAATTTCACCATCTTAAAAGTATTTTATAACTACTGCTGTCCTTTGATTTGTTTCCATTTTATTTCTATTATCTTGCAGCATCTTTTATCCAAATTCTTCTTTCTTATAAATCTTGTAAGTAGGAACAAGTAGCTTTTCCTTAATTGCGGTCATGCTTTTCTTTTTCCATAATCCCATCTTTTATTTGTAAATTCATTCTCATTGTCCCTTGTAGCTTTTGCACTTTTACTTGAAAAAGACAAGTAATTTTTTTGTGTGTGTTTTTGAATGGGGAGGATTGTTGGCAAAAGCAAATTAATCTGCCTGAATCAGTCCCATCTTTTATGTACTTTAGTCTGTGATCATGTCATGAGTTTCAGGACTTTGCACTAACCATGTTTTTTTTTACTTAAAGCTTATTTTACAGACTAGTGTTTGATTTGTATGCATTGTGCATGTAGTGTTTTTTTTCCAACTACAGTATATTGCTGGATAGCTTATTCAGGACAAAAAATGGCTCATGGGAAGATGCATAAAGATTTGTGCTTATTTACTACTCACACTGTGAAAATTTCTAAGTTAACCATAGGTCAAACAATGAATTTATAGGCAAAAATTAACAGGAGGTGCTTGTCATTGGGAAGTTTCCTTTTAAAAGAAACACAAACAAGCAACAAGAACTAAATCCAAACAAAAATCCATAAATGAAAAAGTATTCCATACATCCAAGTGTTCGAGTCTTTGTTTGCAAGGCTGATTGTGAACCTGATATTCCCAAGTATCCCAGGCACAAGATAGAGCAGCTTCTCTGGTACTGCTGGAGTTGTTAGCTTGATTCACCAGGAGCACACATTATTTGTTCTCTTTGATTTTGTAGCTCATAAAATGTCTGAAGATCAGCATAGTCTTAGCTAAAAATAAGAAAGAAAATGCTGCTTCTGCCATTAGTTTTCCAAGAGTGAATTTTTTACTGTTTTTTTTTTTTTCCCCCCCTATCTCCTTGCACATTGAGGGCATTACACACAGATTTGTTTTGGTTGCCATTTTAGAAGAAATGAAGAAGCCAGCAAGATGAGTAGACTCCTGCAGCCTGTGTCTCTGATACTGGTGTGTGAAAGGTGTACTGCAAAAAAGGCACAAATTGAATTGAGTCAGACTGGCAGAGCCATCCTGCAGGAACTGAGCACAAAGCTAAGCAGGATCACAGAACCTGAGGCTGGGACCTTAGAGATCATTGAGCTCCAGTTCCCCCACTGTAAGCAGGACCCAGTCACGGCGGTGACGGCGGCCTCTCGAGATGCCTGTGAGCACGGTGTGCGTTGGCACACAGGGAGGCCTGCCCTCCTGGCAGCTTCCATCTGACAGCACTCTGGGCTCATATGGGGGCAGGGGGGACCAAAGCAGGAGAGTGGCTCTCAGCAGATTTCCTTCTTACAGTGAGTCCTTTGCAATTCTTGGATTTTTTTCTTTTTATTAAACTATCAGTTATATTATATATTTATGCAACATAAGCAGTTTGATGTTCAGAACAAGATAGGTGATCAGTCAGTTGCAAGTAAGCACTTGTGTGGAGGTAGTAGTAATGGCACAGTGAAAACGTTGGATGGTATTTTAAGAGTGCAAGGAAAGTCGTTTTCTGGAGGTGAGAACAAGGCGAGGAAGATCCTTGTCCTCTGAGAGGGTAGGGAGGTGTTCTGGATACAAGGAGACACTTCCCAACACAAAATTGGGATGAACTTCAGAATATGAAGGTCAATTGTTGCAATCCTTACACGGACAAAAGTTAGTTATAGCCTCAAATAGTTCCTAAACAGAGGCACTGACTCAAATACAGTGAACTAACAGCTTCATGATAACTGCTAAATTGGACTTGATCTTTGTGTCCAGGATCCCATGAGCCTATTATATATGTTAACAAACGCAGTGAAATGCTGTTTTTTCTTTTCCCAGCTATAGCAACTCAAGCTAGTGTGGAGTTTCGCCGGAAAGGATCCCAAATGTCCACAGATACAATGGCTTCCAACCCTTTGTTTGATGCCAGTGAATTCCCAGACAACTATGAAGCAGGAAGGGCAGAGGCATGCGGGACACTGTGTAGGATATTTTGTAGCAAGAAGACTGGGGAGGAAATATTACCAGCTTACTTATCCCGGTACTAACCTATCTTTCAGTTGCTTTATTGGTGTAATGTTACGGTGCAAAGGAATTTGCAGTGCATAGCATTCAGTTACTGTCTGAATCCTGTGCTGCCAGCTCTAAGAGCGTGGCTGGCCTGCACGAGGCACAGACAGAGCTCCCTCTGTAAGCTGAGTGTTGGCTTTGTGTTCCCACAGTGCTGGTTTCCATTGGGCTTTCTTCAAGCTCTAGCTGAGGGGGAGCCCCTCCAGCAGCTGGAGGGAACTTCTTTGGTCTTTTTGACACTTGAAGGTTTTTAAACTTCCTATCAAATGTTGGTAAGATGGACAGAAGTGTGCAGATTTGAGATTGTGTTTTGTTAGACTGCAAAGGGTGCTGTCTTGTCAAGAAACATTGGAGTGGAGTATATATTTTTTAATGGTTTTTACATACAGAAATGCACTAATATTCTATTATTTGTTTGTATATATATATATATATATATATTTTCATCGTGAATTACTTCGATTTTCAGTTTAATTTCTAGTAAAACAAGGCCATCCTGCCTATCATAGTTCTTGTTTTTCCAACTTTTTTGGTTAAAAAGTAGAAAAAGCCAGAGGCAGAGAATCAATTTTATAAATAGTAACTCTCTCAAACAGTTCAATTACCTTCGCCATAGGTGGCATCAAAACTTCTGGAAGACTGAACCACTTTATTTCATGTATGTGGTAGTGCTATATGCATTAGATGGTCTGTTCCTCTTACACAGTCAGATTCCTCTGTTTTGTTAAGTTGTGGAGGGTTTTTTTGTGTGGGTTTTTTTTGTTTTTTTGTTTTTCTTTTTTTAATACAAATACACTGTAACCTAAAACCTGTAGAGGAATCTAAGTGCTTTAAGAGACGAGGTACTTTGGGATGGTGGCCGGCTACATAAGGTGCTTCACATCCTTCTGCTTTTTCATTTGAAATAGCTGATTCATATTTTCCCTCTTATTTACCAGATGTTAGGATTGCTGTCACAGTGCTGTTCCCCCCCCAGGGATTTTGCAGTACTTTTCTTCCATGCTAGGGAATTGGAACCAAGGTCTCATTTACTCCCTTACATGAGAAAGGCGGTGGTGGGGAGCACAGTGAGCACGCACCTGTGCTGTAGCTGCAGCAGCTCCCAGGCCCTGAGCTGCAACAAGGCAGATGTTTCAGCAGAATGGTGCTCTGCTGGCTTTTCACGTGTAATATGTGTGATTAGCGTGGCTTTTTTTGAAACATAGCTAACTGCACTTGCCTGTGCTAACATAACTTTGGGGAATGCTCAGAAAAGCTTCTCTCAGCTCTGATTTTGAAGCTGTTCTGTGTAGAAAAGATCTAATTGCTGCACATTCGTGTTCGTGTGGGATGCTGATACTTTTTATGTGCAAATAATTCCGTCTTATCTTTCTTTGTCAGATTTTACATGCTTTTAATTCAGGGTTTGCAGATAGCAGATTTCGTTTGCCACCCCGTTCTTGCCAGTGTTATTCTGAACTCCCCTCCTTTGTTCTGCTGTGACCTGAAAGGAATTGATGTCGTGGTTCCATATTTCATTTCGGCTCTTGAAACTATTTTACCCGACAGGTAAACTGCTGTTTCCCTGTAGATACTATCAGAAATATGGGGAGATGTTTATCTTCTGGGGTTTCTGTCGTTCCTGGATGGCTTCCACTGGAGGAGTTCTGTAATGTGGGCCCTCTGTTGTATATGTATGTGATAGTGATAACAGCAGCATTTCATAAGCTCTGACTTTTCATTTCATTTAATGCAATTATCCTTAAAGTAGCAGTAGCCCTTTTTAAAAATGAGAATGTTGGAGTTGTGTTATCTCAGTATTCATTATTGAAAAACAAGAACAGGGAAAAGAATACATTTAAAGCTGATTTATTTTTAAGGAGAACTTTACAGCATATTCTATGCTGGCTGTTATTGCAGTGACTTTATTCAGAAAGTAACTTTACACACCAGTAAACGGAAAGAATTGATCATTTAGACTGACAGGGAAGTTGGAGTAGGTTCCTAAAGTGGAATATATGCCCTTGTTTGTCAGAGCCGTACAGATTGCTAAATAACTTAAGGCACTTACTACTGCTCTGTGCCTGCCTTCCTCTCCATATCTTGTATGTACTGATGGTGCATTTCAGCTTGAAGTTGTGCATAAACTACTGTTATTCTTCTGGGCTTAAATCTGAGCTGCTGCTGCTTGTAGGTGGATCTTACAAGCAGAATTAACTCGTGGCTTCATAAGAAACGTGGTCTGTTTCCAAGCAGAATGTGTTTTATACAAGATGCACACGAGCAAATTCTGGGGATCCTGGTAGAGCTGGGTTGGTGGGATTTGCAGTAAGCACGCAGAGGGTTGTGACTGGCATTTCCTGCCTTGGGGATGCAGAATATGAATAAGACTTCTGTTTGCTTAATGGTTCAGTGCAAAACAATTCAGGCAGGACTTCATAATTTGCTAATTGTTTCATTGCAACTGCTATAAAATAAGAATCTTGAATCTAGGAAGAAACAGCTACATTGGATGTTGCAAGTTATTTTAGACCAAGGAGTGGCTGTTTGTTTAATTTTCACTTAGGTTTGGCTTCAAAGTCTTATAAAAAGTTGATTAATTGTATGGTGCTTTGATTTCCAGGGAACTCTCAAAGTTTAAAATATATGTAAACCCCACAGAGCTAAGAAGAGCTTCAATTAACATCTTGCTGTCTTTGTTGCCTCTCCCTCATCATTTTGGAACCATAAAATCGGAGGTAATAACCTTACAGCTTTGTCTTACATGTTGAATTTTGTCTTTTGGGTTGTGGAGTGGCATTTGGGTGAGGTGAGCTGTGGTATTTGGCATTCTGTTTAGCCCTGAAACTCTTGGCACAAGTTTGACAGGAGTAATTTGTGCTGTGGATTCTGACTTTTGAAGGCAATGCCATGCTGGTGTGTTCAGTGTAAAAATGGCATCGAGTTCTAATTGATACTGAAATAAATTCATTGCTCATTCAGGTTGTCCTGGAAGGGAAATTCAGCAACGATGACAGCTCAACGTATGATAAACCAGTAACCTTCCTTTCCTTGAAACTGCGGCTTGTGAATATACTTATAGGAGCTTTGCAAACTGAAACAGATCCCAACAACACTCAGATGATACTAGGTAATTTCAACATTTTTAATGTATCAATTGTGTTATGAAAGCGTCTTCACCTCTCCTGGAATAATTTGGTACATTCATGTGATACTTGGCAAGAAAAAGGAGAAATTCCTGTCAGATCATCTTCTGTATAATCTCTCTCATACTCTCAAAACATCTTTGAAATCCTCATGTTCTTGTTAAGTAATCTCTCTCTACCATTCTAAATGTAATCCCTTCCATTCTAAATGTAGAATGGCACTTGAAAAGTAAAAATGGAATTAAAGCACATTCTAGCAGCAGAAGTCAGTCGTAACTCAGAACGGAAATAGGAAGAAATGTTCTAATATTGGTAAAAAATGATGAGTAATGGATTACAGGGAACATTTCAGTTTTTGCCATGCTTGAGCCTAGAAACAAATTGAAATACTGGGTAACAAGTACTCTAGCATTGGCAGAATACAGATGGTGTTTGTTCAGCACTGTGTCAGTCCTTGCAGAAAAGCTCCAGCATAGAGTCTGCAGATACATCATGGTTTGGCAACAAACTGTGTGTTGAGGTGGTTGGATGTGTTGAGGTGTCAGTGCTGAGGAAGTAACTAGAAGCTGGAATCTTACATAGTGCACAGTCTGTTAAGCAGATGTATTTTCAGGCAGGTAAAAATTTTGTTTCCTTACACTTTTTTTTCCCTTATTTGCTTCCCTCTCATTATGTAAAAGTACCTTTCTTCACATTATAATAGTTACCATGCCATTTTCCTTTGACAGTTTAAAAAGCAAGTGGATTTGCACTGGGTAGATATCTGATTGGTTCTGGAAGCCTGCCTGGATAATAGGAGAGGGAGGAAAAAGTGCATAAGCAATGAAGTGAATGGAAACAAATCCAGTCTGCAGTCTTTCTGAAAGCTGTTCTTTCAAGACAACTCTTGAAACCTTTTCTGTACAAGCAGAAGACATGGCGATAATAATTTTAAAGGATGATTTGCAGCCAGTGCTGCAAGTGAAGGGATGAGGATGTGTGTGGTTTCTTAGTCATGCTCACAGAGCACATGTTGCTCTATCAGCTGTAGGGTGAGCGATGTTCTGTTAAATCCTACCCATGCGTTCTTACATGCCTCCACTGAGGTTGGTGCCTGCACCCCAGCTTTTCAGATACTCTGCCTATGATGGTTTTTTTACCATTACCTGGCTGACAGACCTTACTGCTTTGTTTCTTCAGTTTTCCTACTGTTAGCTACACAAGTAACAGGAGTTTATGTCCTGCTGGCTTTGGTTGGAGAGGATTCATGAGTCTGTATCTTAGCCAGAGATTCTTGCATGTTCCACCATCCTCTCTGAAACATTGGTGTTTATTTCCAGCTGCTTTTTAAATATTTGACAACAACTGGAGTGTTTCGTTTCCTATTGCAGCTGTTGTTCTCCTCAGCCCCATGGCTGTGCTGGAGGAAAAATGATGCAGCTACAGGTGGTGTGTGCCCCATGTGACATAAGGCATCCAGAGCACAGTCAGTTTTAGTTCACCTGTGTGATGCTCTTGTTGGTAGCTCTCTCTCCCGGGCTGGATTTTTCTGTCTACTTGCTGTTTAATTTGAATACAGTGAAAAAATAAATAAAAAGGCATGAAAAATTGGGTCCTGGAGATCACCTGTAGGGGGAGAGAGTTTTGGTGGATCATACCTCTGACCTCCTGATTTTGGAATTTGGTTTAATGTTTTTGCTAAACTGAAATGAAATTTATATTTACTATACTGATCTGAGAGTTTGGAGAGTGGTGTTGGAAATATTGATGCAGGTTTTGGACAGAAACATCTCTGTAAAAATGCTTGTGCTGGAGTGGATTTGGGGTTCATTTAACAGGTCCTTTGGTGATTGATTGTGTTGAGAATGATTGTGGTCTCATGTTGATGTCTTCAGGGTTGCTGGATGGAGCAGATGTTACCTTATCTTCCAACAGGCTGCTGCCTGCACTGACAGCCCATTAAGTAGTGAAAGCACATTTTTGTTTGCCAGTTATCAGGTGCCTTTTGGCTCCTAATGGCCAAACTGAGGAAGGGAGGCTCCTTGTGCCAGGCACAGAGAGGAGCCCAAACAGTACGGTGTAACCCTTGAGGTGGCTTTGGATTACAGTGCACTTTGGCTGTCTGTTACCTAACAAATGCTGCTTTTTTACTCACAAAATCTGTAAACCTCTTTAAATGTAACCTGAGTTTTTAAATGAGCACAATCTGCTGGGAGACAGGGAAGCATTCCAGCCCTTCTGTGAAACAAGAATCCTTCTGAACGGAGGAATTCAGGAAACCTGTGTTCAAAGCGTTTTTAAAATAGCCAAAAGAATATCTCAGCTCTCATCTGCATCAAATTGCTAAGCCTGGAACAAATCCTCGTGTTTTATAAAACTCTTATAAAAGCTCTGTATAAATCAGGAAGGAGATTCTGGATGCTTAGACCTTCAGTGCTTCTCTACATTGTAGCTGTCAGTATTCTACTGTGGTTTTTAGTTACCTCTTCTGTCTAATTCTTCAGGTGCAATGTTGAATATTGTTCAAGACTCAGCACTGTTAGAAGCCATTGGCTGCCAAATGGAAACGGTAAGATTTGTTTAATTGTTGTTTATGAAGTTATTGCTTCAGAAAAAAATGTGATTCATTCATCAGCAGTTTAAGTAAGTTCAGTCCAGAGGTATTATCCCATCTAAAAATATTCTTTGTTATAGAGAATTCTGTTCAGAAGATCTTCTCATTACTTAAAACTGACTTCCAGTTTCATAGAATCATTAAGGTTGGAAAAAGCCAGTAAGATCATATAGTCCAGTGTCAGCCCATCACCACTATGCCCACTAAAACATGTCCCTCAAAGGACAGTGACTCCAGCACTTCCCTGGGCAGCCTGTGCCAATGCCTGACCACTCTTTTTAAGAAGCTTTCACTAATATCCTACCTGAACCTCTCTTGGTGCAACTTAAGACCATTACCTCTCATCCTATCACTAATCAACTGGGAGAAAAGGCTGACCCTCATCTCACTGCAACCTCCTTTCAGATGGTTGTAGAGGGCGATGAGGTTCCCCTAAGCCTCCTCTTCTCCACAATGAACCATCTCAGTTCCCTCAACTGCTCCTCGTAATCTTGTGCTCCAGACCCCTCACAGCTTCGTTGCCGTTCTTTGGATACACTCCATGGTCTCAGTGTCTTTCTTGTAGTCAAGGGCCCAGCACTGAGCACAGCACTCGAGGTGCGGCCTCACCAGTGCTGGCCGCAGAGGTGCGATCAGCTCCTGCTGGCTGTGCAGTTTCTGACACAAGCCAGGATGCCATTGGCTTCTTGGCCAGCCGGGCTCACTGCTGGCTCACTTTCAGTCACCTGTCAGCTAACACCTCCAGATCCTTTTTCTGTGTGCAACTTTCCAGCCACTGTGCTCCAAGCCTGTAGCAACGCATGGAGTTGTGATCAAAGGGCATGGCTCTGCAATTGGTCCTACTGAAGCTCATACAGTTGGCCTGAGCCCATCGATCAGCCTGTTCAGACCCCTCTGTAGGGCCTTCCTACCCCCAGGCAGGTTGACACTTCCTCCCAGCTTGGTGTCATCAGCAGGTGTCCTGAGGATGCACTCAATCCCCTCATCCAGATCATCAGTAACACCTTTTAACAGGACTGGCCCCAATACTGACTGCTGAGGAGCACAGCTCTCCTGACTGGCTGCAATTCCATTCACCACCACTCTCTGGGCCCAGCCCTGCAGCCAGTTCTTTACCCAGTGAAGAGTGTAGCTGTCCCAGCCACGGGCTGCCAGCTTCTGCAGGAGGATTCTGTGGGAGACAGCATGAAAGGCTCTGCTGAAGTCTAGGTGGGCTTTGGCAGCAGCCTTTCTTGCATCCACCAGGCAGGTCGCCTTGTCATAAAGGAGATGAGGTCAGTCAGGCAGGACCTGCCTTTCACGAACCTGCATTGGCTAGACTTGATCCCTTTGGTGAGGCTTGTGAAAAGAGATCAGCAGAGAAGGGACAGCATGAAAGGCTCTGCTGAAGTCTAGGTGGGCTATGGCAGCAGCCTTTCCATCCTCTACCAGACGAGTCACTCGTTCATAGAAGATGATGTTGGTCTTTAACAATGGTGGCTAGATTACATTCTTGCTGAGTTTTCACTTTTCTAATTTTTTTTTCCTAAATTTGCAGAATGGTGGTGAAAACAACCTCTTCAAAAGCCACAGTCGTACTAACAGTGGCATTAGTACTGCAAGTGGCGGCAGCACGGAGCCTACAACACCAGATAGTGAACGGCCAGCACAAGCCCTTCTAAGGGATTATGGTAAGGACAGCTCTTTGGAAAAAATGGTATTATAATATCCTAACTTGATTTTTGTTTTTCTCCTTTTGTAGTTCTGGCTCATAATTAATGTGTGCGGGTGTTTTGAAGCCAAGATGGATACTCCTTTGTTCATTGCTGATTTGATCCCGTATGCACCCATGTGTGGTGCTCACATGTGCTGGCTGGTTCTGTGTTGGTTGGTGTTTAACCTGCTGAAGGACTCTCCCAATACAGTTTTTAAAAAAGCTCGTGGAAAACTGTTGTACTTTATCATGTGTTTTCATGAACATTGATGCCATAAACGTATACCAGGTGCAAATTAATGGCTTCATTCATTTTGATAGCATTCCAAGTTTAGTAGTACCTTTTCTTAACTGTTTTTAAAGACCATTTGGGGGACTCCTGTTTCTGCAAGATAAAGAGGCAGAACGCTTGCAATGTGTCATTTGTTATAACAAGATCTCTTCAATTAACATTGGTTTGTGATGTCCTGTACTGTGCCCTTTTTGAATCTTTTAGTAGAATTTATGTCCTACTTAGTCTATGTGGTAAGCCAGCTGAATGTGGAGATTCTGGAATTTCATTTGCTCCTCCATGCTTTAGCAGTGCAATGGATGTTAACTGGTGAAGTGAATGTGAGAACAGACCACCTTGTAGGCTAGGTGGGAAACTCCATTCTCACCAGATAAAAATGCTTCTTCCCCCAGTTCTCCATGTAGGAGGAGAGATTAGTGGGAAAGCTTTAGCATATTCACATATATACGTTACATACAGATGCAGGGTTTTGTTTAAATGTTAGTTATTTCTCTAACGGATTTATCTGAAGTGACTTGAAGTGCTGGTTTTTACCACACCACCTTAATTATGTATATAATTCCTGTGTTTTCATTGGCAAGTGTTTTTGGCACCTCGCAGTGTAAAATGTTCCTTTGTAAGGCTAAAAAACCCTCGTGTTTTAAGTTGTTGAGTCACTGACTTTTCAAACCATACGTTTAAATTGAAAGATATTTTTTGTAATATCTGGCCCTGAATTTGTTGGCATTATTGATTCATTTTACTGGATTTAAAAAAAAGAATTCTGTGCCCACAAGGTAAGGTTATAATACACTTACAAAAGGAATTTCAACATTTCTACTGAATGCTTGAAGGGAAAATTGGAAACAAGATGGTTTATTTTTACTGGTTAACTGTAGCTGACATGTGAATCTGCTGCTAGACTGGCTGAGAGCACTGGTGCTGAAATGAATTTGCCTACTTCAGTTTTAACAAGTGTATATAATATTTGTGTTCCCAATACAATGAAGTTATGAGCAACTGCTCGTAAAAGCACCTCTGTTTTTAATGTTAGCCAAAGGTACAGGAAAATCAAGCATTTAGAAACAATTACATCTTCCAGGTTGGTTTCTTTCATTATCTGCACATAAATACCTAATGCAGCTTCTGATAAATGCTGTGTATAGAGAGAATAGGTAACTTCTGGCCTAGGTATCTGAAGTTACATGTGCTCTGTTCATTACTATGACTCAGTGTGAGTACTGGTGTCTAACATACGTGACTAATGCCTAAATTCTTCTGAGTCTGCAAGACACTGCAGCAGTGTAAGCACGGTAGCAAACAGCAGCACAACCCAACACAGGCTGTTCTGCTGCTGAAATGCATCCAGTGCTGTGATTGTCCGAAATGTCTTTAGAAGATACGGAACCAAATTGATACAAGGTGCTAATCTGAATAGATTTCTATTGTGTACTGGTGTTGCATACAAGGGAGTTAGCCAAATTTCCAGATTCTGGGTTGTATGTAATTTTATGTGCGTATCGTGGCTGCTTTGGCTTGTTCCTGTGCTTTGCTTATTGTTACTAATGCTTAGTTATTTTCCCTCCCTGTGGTATGTGTTACTGGGGTTACATCCTAGCTCTTAATACAGATACGGCTGCAGGACTTCTGATACGCAGCATTCACCTGGTAACCCAGAGGCTGAACTCGCAGTGGAGGCAGGACATGAGCATCTCACTGGCTGCGTTGGAACTTCTCTCTGGATTGGCAAAGGTGAGAGACGAAGCTGTGGTTACTCCAGCCTCTTCTCAAAGGGGCGATTCCTGTTCTCTTCAGGTGAAAATCATGCCACCAAGCAGACGTCTGTCAGCAGACGTTCTATTTGGAGCAAAGAGGGTACATGCTCCTTCTGTAGGATTGCTCTGTCTTATCCTAGTGTATATGCTCAGTGATTTAAGTCGAGTGAGTGCAGTGAATGCCTTTGGGCTGAAGGTGAATCTCAAGGTGGCTGCTTCAGATACACGTAGCCCTACTGTGTGATTCTGGCTGATTTTAGCTGGATGGCTTCTAATCGTTCTCATGGGTTCTCATGTGTGGTTTTGCTTTGCTTTGTGTTTAGGTTCTGTTTTGTTGTCACTGTTTTTTCACACTGCAGTGGATGAATCTGACATATTAGGTTGAACAGCTGGAAGAAAACCGTACCACTGAGCTTCCAGTGGGCAGTGTGGGCTTCAGCCCATAGTTTTCAACTCCACCGTGAACCATTTCTCATAGGTTACTTTGTTAGATGTTTCTAAGGCTGGTTGCACAGTGGGTGGACAAACCAAACAAGAGTTTCTGTTGCTGCTGATCAGGGTTGGAAATCGACCAGGACATAAAAAATTTGATTGCCCTTTTTGTAAGTGCTGTGCCAACTTTTTTCCTTTTGTGTCACGTGCAAAGTAATTTTCTGAGCTATGTGTGACACCTTCTTAATGTGAAGGTGTCACCTGCTTGGGAGCTTTGTCTTCACACAGCTCTGTTCCTCAGACTAGCTGTGCTATTTCTCTTCACCATTTCCCAGATGAACCACTCCTGTTCTGTTTTAGCACCCTCAGTTGTGGTCTATGTTCCTTAACTGTAAGGAGACTCACCTGTCAAGTAGCTGGAGTAATTAGCAAGTTAGTGAATAGTAAATAACTAAATGCTGGGTTGGGGGTCCTTTTTTGATGAAAAGTAAAATGTCCTTTTCTGCTTGAGGACACTTATTGTTCCCAGTCTGGAGTTTGTGATGTTTGCTAAGCAATGCTTTGGTGTATTTACAGCAGCCACAACGAACTGGTGCAGCAGCTGGGCATTCCCTGATGTATTCCCTTTGAATATGTATGTCACAGGGCTCTTTTAAAGCTTGGAGTCAGCACTGAGCCGTGGTGGGCTGCATGCTGCTTTCATTTCTGCGGTAGCATGAGCTGAAGGACACATTTGGAAGTATTCAGCAATGAGTTCAAACACGGTTTTGGAGTGTTCCAGAGCACAATACAGAAACGGGGGTTCCTGATTCAGTTAGGATATTCTCCTGTCCCCTCTTTGTGCAATGAGATGAGAATATAAAAACATGTTTTCAAATGTCTACCCAGTTTAATATTAAACACTGTAATCTCTGTGTAACTCTTGGGCGACTGAAGTGATTCTTCTGGGACATACAGGGTAGTCCTCTTTCTCTTAGTGAGGAACCGAGTGGAAAGAAATCTCCACGTATTGCATAGCTGCAGAGCAGAGAGTCCATTCTGCTTTCACCTTTGGAAACCGCAATTCCCAAAACCCTTTTCAGGTTAAGGGATGCCTTGTCCTGTATCTTTTCAGCTGCAGGTTATTACTGGGATTTGGTCCATTAGAAAAATCCTCTTTTCTGCAAGAGTGCTGGAAACAGCCTCTTGTCCTAAGCTGATCTCAAAGGGACTCTGCCATTTATCTTACGCTTCCAAAGGAAGTACTGTGTCGGGCTCCAAACAGTCGTATGTGCCCTTGTTGAGTACAGCTGTCTGGCTCCCGTGTTGTCACCTGCAAAACCAGTCAGCAGGATGCTGGTGGTGCCCCTCCAATATCGAATAAGATTTTATATGGCATGGTCAAACTCTACAGAGTAGAAAAATGCAGGTTTACCTAAGAGCTCCTGTGTCAGCTCACATGAAGAAGAGAGATTTGGTGACCTGGTTAACTTCAGATTGCTGATCTTCATCACTTGGGGTGCACAGCCCTTTGTTAGCCCTCACAACCTGGAGCCTTGCTGCCTGAAGCCCATCTGGGCAAGGATACGAGCTGAGGGGGTTTTCTGCAAATGATTTTTTTTCTGGTTAATCTGCTTGTCTGAGCATGGTTGTTTGTCAGTGAGAAAGTGAAAGAAAATCACTCTGCTGACAGAATTTGCCTAGTGGAAAAGGACAGGAGCAGAATGAAGCCCTCTGGATGGGAGACTGGGCAGTGAGTGGTTTCTTAGAGGGACCACGTGGACGTGAGTGGGGCTGCTGTAGCTGAAGGAGAGGTTTTTGCTGAAAATAAGTTTAAAACACAGATCTATTCAGCTTACAATTAGTTTCTTGTCAAACCAGATTGGTATCATTCTTGCTCTTGGAAACAAAGCCCAGCAGGGTGGTGGCTCCTTACTGCAGCGTTTCTTTTAATTTCAGTATCCATCCCTGTTTAACATTTGTACCATGAAATAGCTCAACTGTTTATTCGCATTTCTTAAAGCTGCATTTAGAAATGCTTTCAAAAGCTGTTTCTTCTCTGGAAGGTTTTGTGAAGAAATTCTCACCTGACAGTCCTCTTTTCCTTGCTTCACACAGGTGAAAGTGCTTGTTGATTCCTCCGACCAAAAGAGAGCTATCAGTTCTGTATGCAGCTACATAGTGTTCCAGTGCAGCCGGCCGGCCCCGCTCCACTCCCGTGACCTTCACTCTGTGATAGTTGCAGCTTTCCAGTGCCTCTGTGTGTGGCTCACTGAGCATCCTGACATGCTGGATGAGAAGGTAAGAATCTCTGATGTGTGTATTCTTAGCCCCCAAGACTGATTTGCTTTTTGTCCCCAGCTGTCAATGTTTCAGACTTTAAAACAACACGTCTTTGTAGTTTTCAAAAGCATAGCAGGAATTCCAAAACTAGTTTACTTGGAAAATAGCTTTCAGTTTTGATTTGTCCTTTTCATTCACTGAGAATATTTTTGGCTATGCAACCACCTTTCATGTTTATAAGAAAATATTTTGATCTTTCTTCTTGCTTTGTGAACTGAAAAAAAAGAAGAAAAAAACCTGAAATTGGAAAAGCAGAAAAATAGTGGAGAAATATGAGAATTATTGGTGTGTAAATAGTGTAGTTACCTGCAGCAGATAAGCTTCTAAAAGCAATGTCTTTTCTCATTTCTTAGCTCTTACCTATCTAAGGAATTTTCTAAATTTAACAGTGGAATTTCTTTAATGCTAATGTTTTGATGATGGTAAAATCATAAGAATCATAGAATTGCTTGAGTTGAAAGGAACCTTAAAGATCACTGAGCTCCAACCCCCTTGCCATGGGCAGAGTTGCCAGTCATTAAATCAGGCATCACATCAGGCTGCCAAGGGCTCCATCCAGCCTGGCCTTGAGCACCTCAGGGATGGGGATCCCCACCTTCTCAGGGCAGCAGCAGCAGTGCCTCACTGCCCTCTGAGTACAGAATTTCCTTCAAATATCTAACCTGAATCTCCCCTATTTTAATTCAAAGCCATTCCCTCTCATCCTATAGCTATCAGACTGTAAAACGTCAGTCTCCCCTGTTTATAAGCCCCCTCCAAGTAATGGACAGCAGTACCTGGTGTCTTCTCCAGACAGAACAAACCCAACTACCTCAACCTTTCTTGATAGTAGAGGTGCTTCAGCCCTTTGATCATCTTCATGGCCTCTTCAGGACCCTCTCCAATTGCTCTGCATCCTTCCTGTGCAGAGGCCCCAGGCCTGGACACAGTACTCCTGATGCAGTATCACAAGGGCAGAGCAGAGTGGGACAATGCCTTCCCTGCCCCACTGCCCCCTCTGTTGATGCAGCCCGGGATACTGTTGGCTTTCCAGTTGCACTCTGCTGGCTCGTGTCAGCTTCTCCAGGGCTGCTCTGAAGGAATTCTTTTCCCAGTCTGAACACATATCTGGGATTGCCCCAACCCAGTGCAACACCCTGCACTTGGCCTTGTTGAACCTCATTAAGTTATGTTGCTTTTCTGGGCCCCTGTGGGTGGCAGCCCTTCTGTTCTGTGGCCTGCATCACTCAGTGTCAGACTGAGTGCTGAGGGTGTGTACCCAGTCCCCCTGTCTGGGTCACTGATAAAGATGCTGAACAGCACTGGTGCCAGGACTCACCCTTGGCATCTTCACCAGAAGTTTTCTAGAAGCTGAGCAAGGCAAACCTTGATCCAGGGTACAGCTTCCTGAGGGAGTGTGAAAGATGCATGTTGCTGCTCTGATCGCCTCCTGTCATAGTCTCAAAAAAATCTTTTTTTTTTTGCATGAGCATCTGCTTTTGTTGTAGGTCTGCTTACAGTGGCAACTCAGTAATCTGCAAATATATGTTAAAAATAAAAAAATAAAAAAGAATAACAGGGAGGGTTTTCAATAAAGATGCTTTCTGCATGTACTTTGGGATACTGGCTGTTGGTTGTAGGTGACCAGGAAAGGGGTGATTTCCTGGGATGTGGCACAGCACAGGTTATAAAGTTACATTATGCTTCGTTTCTCTTTCTTTCTTTGTTTTTCTGCATAATTGTGAATTCAAGAAACAGCACAGGCCAAAGTGCAGAACCCTGCCTGGTTTCTGGTGGTTAAAACTGCTGATTTATTTGTGTAGTTAGGGTTCATTGTAGACTGCTACTTGTTCTTGAGAAAGCTTTCCTCTTTATTCCCTTGTTTAGCCATCAGATCAGAACTTTTGTTGTAGCAATCCAGATGTTTTCAGTAAATGACTTTGCAGTGAGCAATATTGGGCAGTCGTAGCAGTGATCCCACTGAGTGCTGGCCTCTTCTGTCGTGTGTTTGTTGATGCTTTGCTGTGCACTTTTAGAACACTGTTATTGTTCTCTTGATGAATTAGATACCACATATATTATCCTTCCTTATGGATGCTGTTGGCAATTGAAAGATTCGGAAAATTTTACAGATGAGTTCATTCTTAATATCCTGAGAACTTAATTAAATTTTCTGCAGATAATTTCAGAAATGTGTTTATCGTTTAAAATATGTTTATATTTTTCAATTGCATTCCTAGCTCTCTTGGCTGTTTTGTACATGTCTAATGGAAGATGTTGTGTATATATTAATTCAGAGCACTTTCTAGTGCTGGTTATAGAGGCACACTAACACAATTAGACATCTATATACAGAGAAAATACAATTCCTCTAGCAAATGTGATCTTATTTCAACACTGTCTGTTAAAATAATTTTCTGCCTTTATCTCTGAGCTCATACCAGAAGCAGCACACTGCTTAGATGAGTCATCTGTTGCTGTTTCTCTGAAGTCTCTGAGACGTCTGTTGGAATGCTTCTGTTTTAAGGTAGTTCCTCGTGTGTTTTAGGATTGTCTAAAAGAGGTACTGGAGATTGTGGAGCTGGGTATTTCGGGAAGTAAATCCAAGAGCAGCGAACAAGAGGTGAAGTACAAAGGAGATAAGGAACCAAACCCTGCATCCATGAGAGTGAAGGATGCTGCAGAAGCTACGTTAACGTGGTATGTGATTTCTCAGAGCGTGTTCATTGTTTAGCACTGCTTTGTCAGAGAATGCTTTAATGGGGGGTTTCCACCTGGTATGTAGTTGAGAGCATCTGAAAAGTCACCCAGAAGTTCCTTCTGTTTTGTCTTTTGGGCAGGGTTGTCTTCCCCCTTCCATTACAGACGTCTAGCAAAAGAAAGATTCCTGTAATTGCTGTCTTCTTTCTGCCCCTTCCTTTCCTTGGAGAGCAAAACCTTCCTGCAGCCCCTGATGTTCTGCTCTTTGCCAGTGCAGAGAGTAGCTCCTTGTCTCCCTCTTCCCCTTGTCACCTTGTCCTTCCAGGCACACAGCCTTCTCCTTGTCCTGACAAGTTATGCTTTCCCCATGCTTTTCCCCACACGGTAGCTGCTGTCCCTGTGTAACACAGCAGGCAGTGACACACGTAGCAGCTATAAGCTAAGGCAGGATGGGACGTCATTCTGCTCACTGAACTGGGCTTGCTTAATAGATCTGGGAGACTCTGCTGGAAATGTGATTGCAGATGATGTGTGGGTGAGGAGGGGGAGCACAGAAGTAAATTGAGATTCACTCCAGAGAAGCTGGAAAGTGCTGTTTTACTGCACGAATAGCATGGTGGTGTAGACAGGACAAACTGAAGATGAGTAGGATAAACATGTGTTGCAAAAGGTGAGAGCTGCTTGCTTATTTTGTTTGTTTTACTTCACAATAAAATCATTATAAACTTTACTATTAGTAAAAACAGTGATATCATTATGAAAGCAGCTTCTCATTGGCACTTGGGGATAAATTTTTCTTGTTGCCTGAAAGTGGCCTTTTTCTTTTGTTTAGAGGCATGCAGATATCTGTTTTCCAAGGGAAAAGTGTGGCAGGAGGACTTCAGTAAATTTAGTATAGATCTGAGTGCAGCCCCATTCAAAACACGTGAACTCCAGTCAGTGACACTGCATGGAAACCTCTGCTCCTGCTGTTGGCTCCTGTCATGGCGGTTTTCTGTTGGGAAGATCCTGCACAATTTCAAATTATTTAAGTATATATGTATTCTTAGGAGCCCTGTGTGTGCCTTGCTTGTTGGTATTGAACAGTGGGTTAAGTTATGGAGGAGTACCTCAAAACATCCATAATGTTCTTATAAGAACAAACATAAAAAAACTGTAGAACTACAGATTATTTTTTGCTCTAAAATGTATCTTACTATCTTTATGACCTTGATTAGAGACGAACTTGTTCTATGGGCAGGTTACTCTTCTTTGAAGGATTCATCTACACTTTTTCTGAAATTACTGGTTCTCTTTTGAGACAGGCTGATGGGATAGTGCAGTAATTGGTTTGTGCTACCCATAAGGGTAGCTGCTATGTCGAGATCCCAGTGAAGAACAGAGTGAAAGTCTGTGCTTGGGTGGGACAGCAGGTCTTAATCTGTGGTGACTTCTGTCTTTTTTTCCCGTTTGCAGTATTATGCAGTTACTTGGAGCGTTCCCTTCTCCCAGCGGCCCTGCTTCCCCTTGCAGCTTAGTGAATGAAACCACGTTAATTAAATATTCTCGCCTGCCCACCATAAACAAGCATAGCTTCCGTTACTTTGTTCTGGATAACAGTGTCATCCTGGCAATGTTGGAGCAGCCTCTAGGGAACGAACAAAGTAAGTCCAGCAGTCACTATTCCTTGTTCCTCTTGTTAAAACTCCCAGCATGGAGCTATAGGAAAACAAAAGGTACCACATTGTGTGGTTCTGTCATCTTTCAGGGCCCTACCTGATCTGTGGACATGCAGCTGAATGGAATGTTGCTCTGGAATGAAGTGGCAGGGCTAACCTCCATGTCAGCGATAGTCAGACTTATAGAAGCCCTCCTAAATAGTTCACACGGTTGCCTTTCATCCTTTGTGACCAGATGTGTGCAGCTGAGTGCCATCAGAATGGTAGCTGGTGGACAAAAGCAGTACCATTGCATTATGAAGACATCCGTGCTTTGACCAAGGATAGCATGTATTAAAAAAATCTGTTATTTACGTGATGCTTTGAGCTGAATAACTGATCTCCTTACCTTCCCCCTGTGAATCCTCGTGTATCAAAGCATCGCCTAACAGAATCAATGAAACTCTTCTCCTGCACTGGCTTCACCAATGCTAAGAGGGAAGCTGTTTTTTTACGAGTTGTGTTCCAGAATGCTCCCATCTCGTGGGGAATCGCTGTGCAGATCCTGCAGCCATTGCCACACGTCCACCCTCAGTCTGGGTTGGAGCCAACGTGTTCCTGACTACAGGGGTGTGGAACGTGCCAGAACAGCTGAGCACTTCTCACCCTTATTCTGCCTGTGCTAAATGAATTACTGAGGAATCCTGTAAAGCTATTATAATCTGAAATTAAATTAGCTTTACTTGCTGTGCAGAACTTGCTTACAAATCCCCCTTGAAATACAAGATTAATTGCAGTGATGCTTAAGTGTGTCAGCTCTGTTCTGAGGCAGACTGCTGTAGTGAATCATTGCGGGGCCTGGTGCGCTGCCTGTGAAATGCCAGCAAAGAAGTGGCTGTCTGGTAGTTACCCAGTGGTGTCAGTTTATGGTTTACATGCACAAAAGATGAGACACATGTCTTTAAAAGGTGAGAAACTGTAGAGGTGTGATTCCTCTTCTAAGGTGGCCTTTAAGCCTTGAAGGGAGACTGGAATCCCTGCCACAGAACCCTGACTGTGCAAGTGGAAAGGCACAGTGGGAGGACTGCAGTCTGAGCTGCTCTCTGAACAGAGTTGATATTGAACCCAGAGCAGGTTGTTCATGGCTTTGTGCAGGGAGGGCTTGGAAGCCTCGGGGGAGTTTCTCTGTCCCTATTCCAGTGCCTGGCTTCTTTTAGAAATGTTTTCACTGCGTGAAGTTAGAATCTTCCCCCATCTTAGTTTGACTGATAGATGCTTTCCACCATTCCTCTTGCCATTATTTGTGTGGGACCTTCACAGAAACTCATGGGGGCGTCATGGAAACCACATGTTTCTGCATGAACATTTGTTGTACCTAAACAGGCAGTGGCCGAATAATTTTTTTTAATTCATGGGAATAATTTGGAGAGAAAATGGGTGATCTGCATGAATCTGGACTAAGGTTACTGTTAATGATGAAATGGAGCTGATTTGGCTACTGCAGAACAGAGTAGTTCTCTGCTGCAGAGAGGGGGATTGCATTCAGTGGTTGCTTCTCACCAGAATTTGTCTTTAGGGTCAGGGTGGGAGTTTTCCTTGAAAACAAAATCTCTGTAATGTGTGTGCTTTTTTACAGTTTAATTACTGTTCAATGGAGTATTTGTGGTTTTGATGACGTATTCTTCTCTTCACCCATGTGCTTTGCAGATGACTCCTTCCCCTCTGTCACGGTTTTGATCCGTGGGACATCTGGAAGATTTGCATGGGCCCAGCAACTCTGTCTTTTACCAAGAGGAGCTAAAGCAAATCAAAAGGTCGCTATCAAAGCCCATAAAGAAATCTTTAACTTATTGATGTTCAGCTGAAATTCCACTAATGTGAGACAGCCCCACAGATCTGGTGATTATACATTAAGGCTGAGCCACGGGGCCTTTAGCTGTAGGTAACGTGATGCATCTGTGGTGACTCTTTACAACTCGTGATTAATATGAAATATAGGCTGTGAAAGTACTGTTGCCTTCTAGGTTTGTGTAGGAGGGTGGAAGAACTCTCCTTATTCTGGTTTCTTAAAAGCATCTTCTAAGCTGATGAAGCAATGGACCGTGTGCTCAGTGTGTTGATGTTAGGTGTCAGGCAGGGCTTTTGCAGCAGAAGGAACAAAGTCTGGAGATAACGTGTGAGATGCTGCTGAGAGAGCAGCTGTTAAAACTGCAGAGCTCAGTGTTGCAAAGGCAGCTGTAAAACTGCTGTGGAAAAGCCTATAGGTGGACTTTGGAATGATTGTGGACAGTAATAATGGAGGATAAATGACCCAATAAATGGTGTTTAAGTAGGATCTCTTATTGCAGTTGCCTGGTGGATTATACCCTCGTGTTACCAAAATTTCTTTGTTTGTAAACATCTCCCAAATGTTCAAACTGTATAATGTAACTGAAATGTGGGCCTGTCAGTCCCAGCTGTCACATTAACGTGTAGATCTCTGCAGTGCAGCCCTTGGGAGGACCCTGCACTGGATGCCTTTTGGAGCTGTGCTGTCACTGCAGCTGAAGCGTTTTGCTGAATAGTGTCAGTCCAAGGGTGTTGCCTCCCACACCAAAAGAAAAGTCACACTTTGGCTGGGGATCTAAGGGAACCATTCCAACTTAAAAGCATTATGTAACTTCAAGATTTGCCATTTTAAAGTGTACTTGGTATAAATACACTCATAAAGCACTGTTCAAAGTGTAATTAAAGGTCTCTCTTGCTTGGAGCTTAGGCACATGCAAACCTGCAACCTCCAGTTGCTTTCATCAGGGATGTCAGTTTTTGAATTGCACAGTCTAGTATAATACAGCAGCATTAACAAAACTGTATGATAGGTAATGCAAGGCTGTTGCTGCCCTGGTGGGACATCTTGCTGCTGGCCCACAGCGTTGCTGCTGTTCACTTCAGGACTTCTCAGCTTCACTTGTTGAGCTCATCATAAGTCAGCAAGGCACAGCTGTTACCTTTCCTTAAACATGGTTGAGGTAGATTTTAACCTAAAAATAAGATGTTGCCACGCAAGCTTGCTGTTTTTAACAGGATTTGCAACCGCTTAGACTCAGGTGGTAAGCAAGTGTACTAGGCATGATGATTCCCACCACCAAAAGGGACAGAATGTTGTCGTTCTGTTTTATTTTTTTTTTTTAATCTATTTTTCAGTACAAGTCTATTCAAGTCTGAGACATGTCTGAGTGCTTTTTAACGATACCTCTAGTGTAAGGATTAGTAAACATGTGATGGGAGAGAATATTTCCCATCTGCTATAAGCAGGTATTTTTTACTGATGCAATGCCCCAACTGAAACTGTCTCCTTGCCCACCTTTTTTTTTTTTTGTCAGACCTTTGTACCAGAACCTCGACCAGCTCCTAAAAATGATGTTGGATTGAAATACAGCGTGAAGCATCGGCCTTTTCCTGAAGAAGTGGACAAGATCCCATTTGTGAAAGCAGACTTAAGCATTCCTGATTTACATGAAATTGTGAATGAGGAGGTAAGGGAGGTTTTGTCTTTGACTTCATTTTGCTCATTTTTCTGCATGTTCATGAATCACACACTAACTTCTTATTCTTCTGCTTGATTAATTCACACTGCTTAATGGAATCATGAACTTTGAACAAATGAATCTGTGCACTATCCCAGGAAGATGGCAGTACCTTGGATGTGCTCTTGGGGAGCACAGCTCAGCGCAGTTTATTCTGGATTCCAATAGCCTGTACACCAGCACTGCGAGGAAGCAGTGGCTTGTCATGTGTTGCATCCACAAGGGAGATGGAAGGGGCACTTGTTAGATCTCTTATGGTGCATATGCAAAAACAGAAGTTCTAAAGCTTCGCAGTACTTTAGCTTTTATTCATTAGGAGGAAGATGCTGCATCTGATGCTGGGTGCATAAATTTGCAACAGCTCTCCCAGGCAAACAAGGTTTTGAGATATTCTCTGTTAACCTTGCAAGGTCTCGTTGACAGTGCTTTAGTAAACATCCTGGGGGAGCTGCAGCTGCTGCATGTGACTTATGGCTCTGCTGAATGACGGGGCTGTTGTAAGTGCTTTGAGAGTTTGGTACTTCATGTCTGTACAATGTATTTCAGCTCGAAGAGCGACATGAGAAGCTGAGGAATGGCATGGCCCAGCAGATTATTTTTGAGACTTCCATAGATCAGAAAAGCGAGGAGGAGTGGCGTAAGAAGAGCTTTCCTGATCCAATCACAGAGTGTAAGCCCCCACCGCCGGCACAGGAGTTCCAGACCGCGCGCCTCTTCCTCTCCCACTTCGGGTTTCTGTCGCTGGAGGCGTTGAAGGTGACCTCATGATTCCTTGTGTTATACTAATGGCATGAGTACCACTATGGCTGGGCTTAACAGAAGGGGAAAACTTCAGTTTCGTTAGTAGAAGATTTTTCTGTGCATTGCCAGCTGCTTTCGTGCTGTCATGTGCTTGAGTTAGGTGGCAAATTTCCGTCTTTCAGGGTTGAGAACAGGGTTGTGAAAGGCCTTGCCTGAAGCTGAGCGTGCTCTGAATGGGTGGCTATTAGTCTACTTTTGCAGTAGGTGCATTAACTCTCACATTCACCTGTTTGTATTTGGTGTTATTCTTCCAAATTGAGTTAGGGATGCTTTGTGAGCATTTCTAAATTATGACTGCCATGCAAGTTTCTGTTCCAGAAATTGTTTTGAAGTACTCTAAAATGTTTACATATGGCTAAACCACATTTAGGCTGTAGAATCGTCCCTTTTGAAGTTAAAATGCCAACAACGTATAGGAAAAAACCAACATCCTTAAACTGAAATTCTGCCTTTTAAGTGAGAATTTTGCCTTTCATTTATTGCATTTTCTTCCAGAAAACTATCAACATTAGGAGGCAAAGTAGCTATTGCAAAAATAAACATAAAGATACTTAATATTGTGTATATTGCCGGTGTATAGGTTACAGTAATAAAAGCAAAATGAGATGCAATGCAGCTGTAGACAGTAATGTGGCATTTTGAAAGTCTCTGCTGCTTTTGTTGTGGAATGGAGCATGTTTTGAGCAAATTATTGCTTGTGTTTTACTTGAAAAGTGTTAATTTTCTTCTACGAATAAGTTAAATGCAACAAACTGTCAGACTTCTGCTTGTTGTTGATCATTTGTAACACTATTATATTGGATCAGAATTTTTTTTGCATGGTTTTGATTCATTTTTAACGGATCAGTGTGAAAACCACAGAGATCTTTTCAGTCAGGAACGTTTTTTGAAGCTATTGAACTCTGATCTATGCAACAGGAGCCCGCTAACAGTCGTCTACCTCCCCACCTGATTGCACTTGACTCTACTCTGCCTGGATTTTTTGATGACCTCGGGTACTTGGACTTACTGCCTTGTCGTCCTTTTGATACTGTTTTCATTTTCTACATGAAGGCGGGCCAGAAGACAAGCCAGGAGGTAAGAGAATGCGTGGAGCAGAGCTCTGGAACCAGTGGTTATTGGGTTTGGCTTTACTTAGACAGGAGGTGTAACAAACCACTGCATATTTTTCATTTGAAAGGTGATTTATTATCTGCATTTTTGCACGTGTATGAATGGAAGGATGTATTTGGAATTCAAAGATTCATATCAGAAATGCATTTCAGTCTGTAGGGAAAGCTGCAGTTTGTTCTTGGTATGTGCAGTATCCAGGTAATTTAATTTGATTTTGATGTTAAACATATGTTAAAGAAATCAGAAACTTACTGCAAGAAAGTATTACTGCTTTGTAAGTCTTTACATCATGCTATTTGTGCTGAAATGCGATTAGGTTAATTGGGTTAATTTGTGTAAATCTAAGCCATGATTTCTTCAGACCGTGATCTAGAAATTTGCTGTGAGTTTCTAAGCAGGTTTATGGGCTCAGTGGAGATATTTCTATAATACTTCTCATTTCTATTTGTAATTGTTCTACTAAAGAGTAGAGGCATGGCTTCAAAACTGATGAGCGTGTCATTGCCTCGTGTGGCTGTCAGCATACAGGTGTCAGAGCACAGCAGCACTTTCCACACCTGAGGGGAACACACCACCAACCCTTGAGGCCAGCATTGTGCTGTTTGAGTTTTCAAGTCAATGTTTAGAGCAGCAAGTAAGTGGTCCCCAAAGTCGGTGAGGTTACGGGGCACGATGCCTTCCAGCCGTCCAGAAATGTTCTGCTCTTGCTGGACAAGCAGAATACTTTTTTCCTCTGATGCTTGTATGCAGTTACAGATTTAGACAGGTGAGACTTCTGTGCAGACGTTAGTCCTGCAGAATTATAGAGCTTTGGAAACCCAGTTGGTACTCAGGAAGATTTGCCATGTCAATTATAAAAAAATATTTTGTATATGAGAGATTCTGGGTATTAGACAGACAGTGCAAAGATGGCATTCCTGCTTCAGGATCCCAGGACATCTTGCTGTGATTCTTAAGCCTTCTCGGTTGTGAGAAGTCAGAGGCAGTCAAGCTGGTAAGGTGCTTGTCTCTACTGCCCTGAACTGAGGAGAAACTGCTGCTGTTTCTGTGGTTGAAAAGAATGAGAACAGAAACAAGTCAGTGGTAATTTTCAATATTAGCATTCGAGAGAGGAATCAAGGCTGAGCTGCGGCACTGCTTTGGGTAGGGATGGCTGTGTGGTGCTACGTAGCCATCCTAGTGCATGTGCTCGTGCAGTTCTTATCAGGACCTAATTCTGCTCTGCAAGGTGATTCCCACTCCTGTCACAGGGAGTAGTGGCAGCTCTACATCTGATGCTGCACAGCCTAGAGCAGTGCCGTTCGTGGGGGTGTTCCTAAGTGAGCCCCAGTCTCTCTGCTGCAGTGATGCACGCTGACGGCTTAGAAAGGTGTTGTGGAATTTGTTTGTACAGGGTAATGAAACTGCCCACACCACTGTTACAGTATGATACTTAATAACATTAAATGTCCTTTGAACATGCTCCCTCACCTTGATTTAAGTTCTTTTTCTGGAGATGCTCAGTTACAAAACTACACATTTATGTAGACCTTGAGCTCGCGTATTTTCTGCAGCTGATGTTGCTCTCTTCTCTGAATTCATTCTGAAATGTAGCTCTGACTTTGAGCGTATTGCTAATATTTCAGTGCAGTGTCTAGTCACTGCTAAATATTGAGCAGGGTGCTGGAGCTGGGTGCCAGGGCACAGGGCCTTCCTTGCTGGGAGCTTTCTTCCCAGCCTGTCCCCAGCTGTGCAGTTTCTGCTCCAGTGCAGTCTGTGTCCCAGGGAGAGTCCCAGCACTGCCCCCATACAAACAAGCTCCAGAGATCTTCTGGCCACAGAACAAACTCCCTGTGACTCAGAAAGAAAGGACGATGCACAGCATGCTGTTGTCTCTTCCCCGTATCCCAGTGGTCCAGTAGGCCAAATAACAAACCATCCGCTTCCCCTGCGCTCCGCTCAGTGCAGCTCTCCAGCCTCCCTCGGTCACACTGGGATTAGGATGTATTTGGATGAGGAAACAACCTGGATCTTTGGGCAAAGTGAGATTAAGGCTCAGAATGAGCAGTTTGGGGTGGCGTTTGATTGAAGTGCACGTGCAATCCTGCTGGAAATTGTTCTGCAGAATCAGTTTCATTATTTAATGTGTGGTGAGGTGGTGCCCTAAATCACCATGTCATGTACAGGTAGTGACAGAACGCCTTTCTCCCAGAACTTCCCCTCGGTCTAAAGTGAAACGTGCCCAGAAAATCCTCTTGTTATGTCTGGTATTGATGCAGACTCTGCACTGGCCAGGTCTGTGGTTTACCCCCGATGTGTGGATAGATCCTGAAATTACCATTTGTAGCAATGTGATCTCAGGCTTCAGCAGTGATGGCAGAAATCAGGATGTTGCCATGCAGGATGGCTGGGCAGCAGGGACAGGTGTCCATGTAGAAAGCCTGGGGTTCCTGACTTGCTGAAGATCTCTATTTGTCAAAACCATTTTGATGACAAAAATTTGGGGTGATAGAAACAAAGGCAGGGTGAGGAGGGAAAGAGCAATTTCCAGGAGCCCCTGCACATACCGTGCTTCTGCTGGTTGTTTCAGATCCTGAAGAACATGGAGTCTTCCAGAATTGTTCAGCCACACTTCCTGGAGTTCTTGCTGTCTCTTGGCTGGTCTGTCGATGTGGGGAAGCATCCTGGGTGGACCGGGCACGTCTCCACGAGCTGGTCCATCAACAGCTGCAGCGATGAAGAGGGACCTGAACAAGGTAAAGCATAGTCAGCTGCCTAACACTGAGTTTTGTCTCCTATTGGATAAAACTGGTTTAAATTTTTTGTTCCTGTTCCTGTGTGCCTATATGAACACTTGCATACTTCCTTTGCATTTTAAAAGGCATTTTCTAGAAAGGTACGTGTAAATTGATTAAACTTCAAGAGCAAGTGATGAAAGCAGTGTGTCTGTGTTGTTGGGAGGAAGTTGTTTCAGCAAGGAACACCGTTTCCCATACTTCTAGCAGACTTGGTGAGGTTTGTTACGTAATCCAAAACCAAGATGCAGATGAAATTGGGTACAGATTTTAGTGTGTACTAACAGATGTGCTTGAAATATTGTGCGATTTTTTTTGTGCTCTGTAAGTAGATTAAAATGAGCTGTTGGTGAGTAAGTTAGCTGCAATCATGCTTGGTAGTAAGTAATGAAAACAAGTGGCTGTTTGTAGGTCACTGAGGCTGGAGCCCACACACAGCTCTTCTGCTGTCCTGCTTCATTTATTCTGCTTCTTTTCCACTACAGCAACTCTTCCTCTGGGCTTGTCTGGTACTGTTACTGACTAAAGGCTTTTCTGAACATCACTACAAGTGATGGAAGGTTTGAGGTGTTGGGGAGGGCTTAAGAGAACAGATGTATGGCTTTTTCAGAACGAGTCAAGAGAGGTTACGGGATGGCCGGGGCTTGGTTTGTTATTTCTTTCAGGATGGAGTTGTTGTGCTTTGTACTGGGGCAGAGTCCTCTCTCTTCCTTTTCTGGTTGGAGTTGTCAGTATGGCTGCACATCTTCCCCCTCTGATCCCCCCAGCCCCAAAGGGAAAGAAGTTCTTAAGCAATTCAATTTGGGTTGAGTTGCTGCTCCCTGGGAGCAATGCGCTTGAGAGACTTTGCTTCCTGATGGTGGGGCATGGCCCCCAGCTCCGGCGTGCCGCTGGCACGGCTGCGTGTCAGTGTGCTGGATGGCCCCTCTCCACTGCTTTTGCTGAGGCAGCTGTTCCAGGGGCTCCACTGTAAGCTGGCTCAGAGAAATAATTCGGCTTAAAGCCTTTGCTGTTCTTTCTGGAGGAGGTATGGAGAAAGGAAAAGGTTTGGTCATCTTCTGGTACTGTGGCTCCACTGAAGACTTATTTGCTCTCTGTACTGTGACAGCCTGACTGTGTTAGCAGCTGTGAGGTGGGAATAAGTGGGGGCTGAGAACTAGGAGCTTTCTTGCATTAGCTTCAGTTCAAGGGTGTGGGTTTTTTTAAATTATAGAGAGAGAGGAATTTATAGAAATTGGCTTAAATTCTAGAATGTTGTCAGGTTGAAGCTACAAATGTAAGCTGTCTTCTGAAATTTAATGACAAACTGAACAAAACTTATGTTAAGGAAATGAGTAGAAATAGCTACTGGATGAATTCTTGTAGGAGATGCTTACGTAGTGACTACCTTAGACTGAGGAAAGGATGATATATGGTAAGAATAATGGAAATATATTCAGAATAAATCCTCTTTCCAACCCTTGGTGCTATTTACTTTAAAATATCAAAAAAGTTCATCTGAAAATTGTTGCTAGCCATGAAATTTCACTGTGAAATCTTCTCATTTTTAAAACATGACTTATGTGATTTCTTGCACCTTATGGTTGAAGGTCTGTGCCTAGAGAGATGAAACTGCCTTTTGAATTAACCTTCCATCTGTGTTTGTTTCAGATGATGTAATAATTTCAGAAGATGTTGGAGCAAGTATCTTCAATGGGCAGAAGAAGGTGCTGTATTACGCTGATGCCCTGACAGAAATAGCTTTTGTTGTCCCGTCACCAGTGGAGTCCCTAAGTAAGATCATTTCATGTATGCATTTCTAAAAACAAAACACAATTCAGAAGATCAACAGTTGTTTGTTTTTTAATAGAGAGCTCTGTCAGAAGCAGAAGCAGGATCCTTGTCAGAAAAGTACTGATTTAAATATCCTAATCCTTAGAAACCTTCTGAGTGTAACACTCCTCAGTGATACCTGTTCAGTGCTCCTTTGTTTTCCCAGTCTAAGCATCAAATATCTTTCCAGGTTTGCATGGTAGTACGTGCCTGCTTGGGTGCCTGAGGTTGGATGTATGGTTTGGTCTGCAGTTCTGACATTGTTAAAATGTACTAATCCATGCTATGGAGTTCAGAGCAGTTTTGCTGGTGGTTTTGTTCTCTCTGTCCCTTCTTGTTGTTGTGCTCCTGCAACACAAGGAGGAGCATGTGCCTAATGACCACACTGATGGCTTCGTGGTATCTTTTACCATGTGGTTTCAAAGGGTTGTCAGGGAGTTAGAGCAGTAGCAAGAGGCTGTGCTGTGTGGGAGACGTAGTCAGACAGGGTGCTTCTGAGTCCATGGGGAGTGCTTTAACTGCAGCCAGTGTCTGGGTAACTCGTGTTATCCACTGCTGAATTCTCTGCTTGATTTTGAGCTCCATTTTGACTTGACTGTCCCTTCATGTATCCAGTTTTAAAAACCTTAGAACCTCTCTGAGCTTCAAGACTGCACACATGATAACAACTGAGGGGAATTGTTTGGGCAGAAGAAAAGACACAACTCACTTTTCTGTTGGCTTGTAGCTGATTCGTTGGAAAGCAATGTCTCTGATCAAGAAAGTGACTCTAACATGGACCTGCTGCCGGGAATATTAAAACAGCCATCCTTGACACTTGAACTCTTCCCCAGTCACACGGACAATCTTAATCCCTCTCAGCGGGTAAGACAAAACTTGCACTGAAAAATGGCATTTGTTTGTTTGGCAGGGTTTTTTGTTGATTTTTTCTTCAGGGTGCACAGTGGTGGTGCATGTGGGTTTTGACAGCACAGTTCAGTCTGCTGACATTTGGTGTCACTCATTCCTAGATGTTAATCTTCCACAGCAGCATCTGTCTGGCTATCATTTACACCTGCAGTAGGAGATTGCAAAGTTACATTGATTAACTGTAAAACTGGAACTTGCTAAGTAAGAACATCTCATGTACTAAAATTTTGAAGAGCATGCAGGAAAAAGTACATGCAGTGTTCGTGAAGTAAACCAGACCCCAGTGCATGTTTGGAAATTCAGGATGGACTGACATGACTGTTCATCCCTACCTGATTTAAAACAGCCTGTATCAATTGTGGCTGAATTATCTAGAGTGAAGTTGCTTGAGTAGCAAAGCAGAAAGACTTGAACTTTGAACGTAAAGGATTTACGACTGCTTATTTCTTGTTATAAATTTACTTCCAAATGTACTTTCTCAAGGATTCTAAATCAGTAAGTATGTTAAGAAAAACTTGAATGAGTTTTTAAGATGATTAAATGACTCATCTAAATAACAGCTGTTGCCTGGGTCCCTTTTTATTAGACTTGCAGAAGATTACTCTAAGTATAAGCACAGTGAAAGTGGGAACAAATGAATTTGAATGTAGGGCAGGAACCTCAGTTTAGCTGACTGGATTGAGTGGGAAAATTAGCAAGGAAAAAGGCATTTCTTTGGGTAATGAGTAGATTTGAGTTGATGATGAGAATATCATAAAGCTCTGCCATGATGGGTGTGCTGGGGTTCCACAGTAGCATGGCAACAAAGCAGTGCACGTGCGTGTTCCCAGGGAGCGTGGAGCAATTGCACTGACTGCAGCTTGGACGTGTGGGGAAAACAAAAAATTGACATAGTTTTCAATGTGTAAAGGAATAAGAGACTTTTCTGTTGTTTTCTGTGTTGAATGGAAGTATTGTGGAGACCCGAATTACTGCTTTTAGGTGGGTAGTCCCACTGCAGCAGCCCCGTGGTAATCATTTGCAGAGGTTGTACCTGTCTGAAATCTGAAGGACAAAGAAACAATTGATGAGATGCTTTAGATAAATCCCTGGGCTTCTGGTGTTTGCAAATCCTGCTTTTCTCTTGTGTTCAAAACAGCTCAGCCCGACTTCCAGATCCAAGAGGGTGCCTCAGGGCCGGACCATTCCACCAATGGGACCTGAAACCAAAGTGTACGTGGTCTGGGTTGAACGTTATGATGATATAGGTGCGTAGAATTTTCATTGTTCACTGATGCAGCAACAGAACAGAGATGAGAGGAAAAGCTCAGCTCCACTTCTCTTAAAAAAAGAATGCTAAATCCTTATTTATTTCTATAACTGACGCTCAAGATTCTAAAACCGTTCTTTGATATTTGAGTGATGGTCCATGGGGGTGTGTAAGTGAATCACTGGCTGTGGATGTGGAGATTATTTTAGCTCTGGCAGTACATGCAAGACACCCTCATGGAGCTTCTCCGTAAGCTCAGCATATGAGACCAGCACGCTCTTGGCTGCTGTGTTCCCAGAATGGAGCTGTTGCTCTTCCTTTAGAAGAGTGACTTTCTGACCCTGTTTTGCTTCTGATCTGCTGGTCTGTTCTGAAGGGATCACCAATTTCTTGGTACCTTTGTAACTTTCTGCTTGGATCTGTCATGTGGAGGGCTTGCTTAATCTGCTCACATTGCCAGTCCGGATGGTGCTGGGCAGCCTGTTGCCTTTCTGCGCGCCACTGTCCAGGCAGGGCCCTGCTCCTCCTGCTGAATTAATGCTCCTTGCCCTGGTGGTTCCCCTCTGAGTCTGGATAACTGAGAGAGACCCAGCTTTGTCCATCCTGTTGTAGCCATAGCATGGTTAGTGCTAGCAGCTGTCCCCCAGGCTTGAGGAGTCCTTTGTTCATGAGAGCTTCTTGCATGCTAGTTCTAAGCCATGGGCCAGGCTTCTGTGTGATGCGAGAGCCTGCCAGTGCTGGCCTAGCATAGCAGGGTCTGTAACACTGCCAGCAACAGATCATCTGTTTGAAGTTGTTGTTCTGCCTCTGATTTCTAATCCAGGTTCCCAGTTTAACATTAATTAAATCCTTAGCACCTCCCAGAGGATAGCAACCAAGAGATTGCAAGAGATCAGAGGAAGCTTCCCATAAGCTACCTGTGTGAAATGTTCCCTTTCCCACCCAGGACTCTGGCACAAAGATCTTGGTGTCCAAAGGAACATGCTGCAGAGCAGTGCCTGGGATCGGGATACGCATGTGACGTTCTGGAGCATCTCTTCCTTATCCTGATGTTGGCCCAGAGGGTTTCTCCTTGGCACCAGGAGTCCCTCAACACTTCATTTCCTGAGCTGCTGGTGTCCCTGACTCCCTCCTGTGTGGGGGCAGCTCAGGCCAGCTCCCTGAGGGGCAGTGACTGCTGCACACACACGTTTCTGCTCAGCTGCTCCTTCAGCAGCCATGGGAGTCCCCCAGAGCCATGGGCCTGAAGCCAAACAAATGAGCCTCAGTATGCTTGGCAGTTGGATGTCTTGCGGGGTGCTCTTGGAGGTTGCTCCTAGACCAGAGGCTTTGCCTCATGCTTCTTGTGTTCTTGGCTTTTGCCTTATGCCATCTTGGTATTTGCACAGTGGAAGAGCTGACTGCTGGCCCTCCCTTTCCTTTATCTCAAAATACTTCAGTGACCACCCCCTCTGTTAGTTCCATGTGCTGTGTGCAGTCAGTTGTGTTACAAAGTGTTTTCAGGCTTACACTCTTTCTGCTGCAAGAGTGCTTTGTGTTATGCTACTGTCTGAATTATACTTGACTTTTTTTTCCCCCAAACTCGTCTGTAAGCTTCTGCCCCTGAGCAAATGGATGGGAAGTGCTACGTTCCATTCCAGTTCTCATTTATTCCTTCTGCACCTGTTAGTGAGGGCGAGGCAGCGGAGCAGTGGGTTGTGGTGCAGGCTTTGCTGAGGGAACGGCGCTGTGTTTGCTGGAGCAGATTGGCATTCCCCTGTCAGCTCTGCAGATGTGAGCAGCGGTACCGTTTGAAATTCCCAGCACTGTTCTTGAGGCTGATGACTTGCAGATGGGAGAAGAAGCTACTGAATAATAATTTAAGAGGTGTTTTGTGACTGCGACACGTTTCAGCTTCTTTCTGCTTCACTGCGGCTCTGGAGATTTTGACCTTTGGGACTCGGAGATCTGAGGGTCTGGGATGCGTTCCCTGATCTCCTGAGCAGTGGGTGAAGCAGCCGTGCCTGTGTAGCAAAACTTAACGTGTGCTTAGGTAACAAAACCACGCGTTGTATCACCAGTTTTGCCAGAACATACCTGGTATAAATGCTTGAGGTTGCATTGGTTTATGGTTTATATATTGGATGATAACTTTGCACAAAAACAAAGAAGCAAACAAAAACCGTGGGGAATCTAAACTTTGTTCTCTACGTCCTCTTACAGAAAATTTTCCCCTCCCTGATCTGGTGTCTGAGACCAGCACTGGCGTAGAAACTACGGCCAACAGCAGCGCTTCCCTAAGGTGAGACCACTCTTATTTTCATTGTTTTCTTGGTTCTTGTGGACGACTGTCTGTGCTGCACTTCAGAAGCCTTGACATGGTTTATTTGCATTCTTCAGCTTTTACTGGCAACTCCAAAAACTGTGGACAGTGTTGTTAAAAAGATAGATGAGCTCCTTCAGTGGATTTGTTTTCTGTTGAGGAAAAAAAGAATGAAAGAGCTTTTCATATTGCTGTGGTTGAAACATAAATTAAGGGTTGGAAGATGTGTAGTCTTATTCTTGGATTTGTGATCAGCCTCCTCCCTGGCTTACTCCCTGGTGAGGTGGTTAATGCTACATATTTGTCATGAAGCTCAAAGCCCCGTCTGCAGGGCTTTCAAATTCTGTGGTGACAGAAGTTTGTAGGAACAGTAGCTGATGGAGACATCCTAAGGTCCAGAGAATGCACACAGGAGCCCTGCTGGTTTAGCCATGAGACATTTTCATGTCCTTTTAACACTGGATCTACAAAGAAAAAGGCTCACTTTAATTGAAGCGCTGCTATAGAACTGATTTATACTTTTTTCCCTTAAGATCTACCATTCCTGAGAAAGAAGTTCCCGTGATCTTCATCCATCCTTTAAACACCGGCTTATTCAGGATAAAACTGCAAGGAGCAACTGGGAAATTCAACATGGTTATCCCGTTGGTGGATGGGATGATAGTCAGTCGGAGAGCTCTTGGTAAGCTGACAGGGGTTAGGAGCACCTGTGGCTCCTTCTTGTCCTTTTCACGTGGAGGCAGTTCATTGAGTGCTCTGATCCTTCCTGCTCAGCCCTCTGCATCGTGGTCATCCTGCCAGCAATACTTCTGCCTCTACTCCTTCATGAGAAGCGGAGCATAACCAGCGCTCTTGGTTTTGTGTTTGTGCTTCCCATTTCTGTTCCTCTGTTATGCTGTTACAGTGAGATCTGGCTGATCCCAAGAACTTAGTGGGATCAGAGTGAAGGAAAGCTCAGGTGTCTGTGGTGTGGGTAATAATGTATCTGCAAAATGCACCGACTGGGATTTGTCACTGGGTTTTGGACATGCCAGCAGGTCTGTATTTTGTTCTTCTCGCCACCAGAGTGGCAGAGGGGACAGCAGAGGGAGCAGGTGGTTAGCATTTAGCTGGAGGAGTTGTGAGATAGGGCTGTGCTGTCTGTGGGAACCAGGTGAGGGCTTGGAGTCATACAGTGGAAGGAAGAATTGTAGTGTGGATGGAAAGAACAGAAATGTGACCTGATGCTTAGCACTGAAGGCCAGGATGCTGGTGTTCCTCATCTGCCAAAGGGTGCTGCTGAGTTCCTGCTGCATGCTGCACTTATTCCTTCTGTTTTAAAAACAGGCTTGCAATGAAAAGCCGCAGAGATCGGTAGCCCATGTTAGTGTGTGTGTGCTGTCCACCTTTTCAGGTATTCCTGGATGTATTAACGACAGATCTTGGCTGTCTGTGCTGTTAGAAACTCAACAGCTGGAAATCTCTCTCCAATGAGAGCTATTCCTGTGACAAAATGAAGTGAAAACACTGAGTATTTAGACACAGCCATAAAACTGATGTAGGAATCTGCTGGGGATGACTCCCAGGTTCTGATTTTGCACATGCCGTGCAGTGATGGTGAAAGCGAAGCCAGACGAGGCCTGCAGATAAAGTTTGTGATCTCAGCTGATAACAGCAGCTTGCCCTAGTGAAGAACCAGGTGTGTTTCTTCTAGTGTGGTGCTGGTTTTTCAGCTGCACTGGGGTAAAACAATAACATTTGTCTGATCTCTAAGGTCAGCAAATGTAGCTTGTGTGCAGTTGGGGATCAGGTCCTCTAGATAAGGAAGGCAGTGTTTGCTCTTTTACTGACACCTCTGTATAGGCAGAAAAGAGTCAATGAACACTTTTTTCATGAGATGCATAGTAATTTTATTTTGGAATACCAGTAGGTCTGCTGTTCCTAGCCACAGTCTGTCCTCTTTCCTCCCCCTGCTCAGAGGGGCAGTTCTGCCATCCCTGCTGCTCTGCAGTAGGTTTGCCCTGCCAAGGTGGCTCCTCAGCATCACCCACTGCCACCTCAGACCCAGTCCTTGTGTGCACAGCCTCCAGCTGTCGTACTGCCCTTCTGCTCACAGGACCCGTGTGCTTACTGACTCGGTCCCGAGGGTGCTGCTGTAGCTGCCTGGCACTGGCAGAGCTGGGGAGCCCTCTTTCTGCTCCCACTGGCTGGGTGTACTGCTGACTTCACCCCTTTCTTATTTGAGTTTCACGTTGGAATGGGCTGGCAGGGCTGGGGACAGGGCTGAGCAGTTACCAGATGGCCTTTCTGAAAAGCTGCTGAGCATCTTCCCCTGGGTTCCTGGGTGCGGTGGGACCCCATGTTTCCTTTAGCTGTAAAACCATCGCGGGGGGGAAAGTTGATTTTGTCTAAGCTTATTTCAGACCTTCTTTCTTGTTTAGGTTTTTTAGTGAGGCAAACAGTAATAAATATTTGTCGGAGAAAGAGGCTGGAAAGTGATTCATACAACCCCCCCCACGTCCGCCGGAAACAGAAAATCGCAGACATTGTCAATAAGTACCGCAACAGGCAGCTGGAGCCTGAGTTTTATACCTCGCTTTTCCAGGAGGTTGGGCTCAAGAACTGCAACCCGTAGGCCGTTATCCTCCCCGGACAATTAGATCAGAGCTTGGTGGCTACAGTAATGAAAACAGTTAAATAACAACAAATTTCCTCAGCCCTCCGGAATTCGGGAAACCGTATTTTAGCACAAGTCAGCAGATACCGTGTGGGAGGAAGGAGAAACGAATCCCAAGCAGTGCAGTTGGGATACTGACTCAGTTCACCTACCCGCGAAAGATTACTGAATTCCAGTCTTCCTGGATGCTCGCAACATAATCTCTCCAGCAGCCATCTACTCCCGGCTAATTAAGAACTGCGTCTCGTCCTGTGGGAAGAAAACAATCAAAGCAAAACCATCTCTGCGTTGAAGTATGAGGAGCGCGGGGCAAAGCAGCCTGCCTTCACACAGCCCGCTGTGCCCCCGCGCTGGAGAGGGGAGCGGGGTCTCTCCTTGAGGAGGGAATCTCTTCCTGAGCGCTCGCTGTGCCCACAAGAACTTCAGGAGAAGTTTCTGACCCCCTTCGGCGTTCTGCAGGAGATGCTTCACTGCTTGAAGCTCATTTGTTCACCACAGGGAGGAAAGCTGCTCTGGAATATCAGGTCACCAAATGCATAGCCAAGATGCTGTGTTTCCCAGTACCCCCCTGTGGGTCTGTGCACAGCATTTCTGTCATCCTGGGAACAAACTGAGTTCAGACACACCTTCTTACTAGATAAGAGATCTTGGTTCTATAGAAACAAGGTCATGACTTTCAGGTCTGTTGCAAAATGTCACATTTAATTTTAGTCACTTGGTATTATTTTCTTTATGCTGCTGATTTTGTTGAAATGCCTCTGTTGCTCAGTCGTCATTTTCATTAAATGTGCAAACATCTCTTGCTTTCCTTCTGCCGGGCTGAAATCTGAGGTTCTGGGGCTGCCTCCTGCCTGACATTTATCGAATATGCAGCTTTTGCAGCTTCTGCACTTTCCAGAAGCTCCTCTTACGCAGACTATGAAACAACTGGAACAGAAAAGTGAGGAACCCTTCTTTTGTGCATTAACTTGCCATTCCATGGAAAGTCCATTTGGAGTTGTACTTCGGAAGTGTTTTGAGGTTACCGTGCTCTCTCGGCAGCAGTGATTCCTCTCTCCTTGGTCAGAAGTTTCTCCCTGAGCTGCCGGTGCCCCGGCCGGGCTCAGCCACAGCCTGGGTCGCTGCCTCACCCCACAGGGAGCAGAGCCGTGTGGATTCGTTTCTCTGACCGCCGGCAGCTTCCATTCAAGCGCCTTGCTTCCTCTGTGGCTGCACTCTGGAGCTCAGGCTGTGCTGGGAAAAGGTGTTCACAACTGCGCGTCAGTGCTGGCAATATGAAAGCTGCAGCAGCACTGCTGCTCCTGGGGCTGCTTTCAGGCCCCCAGCACAGTCCTGCCTTGTGGCAGCAATGAATCACTGCTGATGCTCCTGTGTGGGTGCAGCCTGCGATGGCTGGCAGTGCACGTGTTCTTTTTCTTCCAGTAAGCAGGGAGGAGGTAAGCGTAAACCTGAGCAGGAATTGGTGGAGCTCCTCAAGTTATGACAAAGTGTTTCTTGGAAGCTTTTTAATATGCATTGCAATAATGCCTGTGAGTCACTTAACTTTGCTATTTCAGTTACTTTTTGCAACAGTTGTAACCTGAAACAGTCTTACTTGTTTCATTACAGTTTCCTTGCCAGGGGTGTGCCCGGATCCCATCTGCCTGTGGTCTTTCGGAGGGTTCACCTGCACCTCAAAAGACATGCGGGTCTCAGCTGAGGGGAGCTGGGGGACAGGAGCAGGGCAGGCACAGGGACCTCTCAGGAGGTTTTGGTCCAGATGAATCACAAATGGAAAAACAAAACCAAAATCTCCGTGGCGGTGAGCAGAGCAGCCGTGCTTCTGCACTGTCCTGGGTGTGAGGGGCAGCGCTGGGTCTGGTGGCAAAGCTGAGGTGGAGCGTGGCCTCATCTCTGCTCAGCTCTTGCCAGTGTGCATTTAATGCACAGGCACTAAATTTACCCACGCTGTGTGTGTACCTTTGAATCTACATAATGGCCAAACACACTTTAGTCCACTGACTTAAAAGGCATGACCACTGCATGTGTAACAAACAGAAACATACAGAGCGATCAAGCTTTGCACATCTTCAGCAGCTTAAAACCCATAGCTGTGTGTGTCACATGCAAAACCATTGGTTTGTAGCCCAGTGAGCTGCAGAAGCTGCTGCTTTCAGGTGCACGGTGCAGTCAGGGGCAGAACTGTGGCTGCAGGAAGCCCTGAGTGTCTCCTTCTGAGTCAGAGAGCCAAAGGAACTGCCTGAAATATTGCGCTTTAATGCGCTTAGGTCTTTTCCTTGTTCCATCCAGAGCATGAGTGTGGCACCCACCTGAGCAGTGCTCACAGGGGAGCAGGGCCGTGTGTCAGAAATCTTGAAAGAAGAGTTTTGTGTGAGCAGCGTTTATAACTGATATAAATCTGATCTGCGAGGTCACGCTGAACACATCGCATGCAGGGTGAACCTGCCCGTAGCTTTGGGGTTTTGCGATCTGCAGAGGTGAACCTTGAAGAAAGTCTGAGTGCAGCGTAGCAGTGCTGCGTGCTGTGCTGTCAGCCCTCGGTTTGGGTGCAGGCTGCGTGGCAGAGCTGTGCCCGTCACAGTGTGGTGTGGGTGATGTGAGGAGCAGTGCAGGAGCGAAGCCAGGCAGCAGAGCTGACGGCTGCGGGTGGTCCAGGGTGCCTTCAGCTCTCCTCCCCCATGGGCTGAGAGGAAAGCTGAGATTTATATCAGTCGTGATGCTTCTGTCGAGACCCTGAGCTTCTGGGGCTCTGCACCACAAACTGCCCTATTGAGTTGGCAGCTTCTCAACTCGCATGGCTGTTTTTTGCGTCCATACCCATGGGAGAGCAGATGCCCACCCAGGGGCAGCGCATCGCACCGAGCTGCCGCTCTATCACAGATGTGACACAACCAGAGTTCCTCTATTCACGCAGTAACGCCTTTCGGTTTGGGTTCGTAATTCTGCTCTGAATGATGGCATCCTCTTAATGGTGCAGAAGGGGGGTTGGGGGGCCGCCACCTCGTTAAATGCAGAGCTGAAATTGCAGAAATGTCGGTACCTTAATAAAGACTCATTTAAAGAAACTATCCTTTCTTAAAGGTACCTGGCAGATGTATGACACACATACATCAAGGAGTGGGGGGGGGGAGGGGTGTTGAGGGTCTGCATGCCCACATCAGAGCAGCTCCACTGCAACAGAGTACAGCTGTGAGCAGTGGCTGCGTGGCTGAGCGATGCCTTTGAAGGAAGGCAGACATCTTCCACGTGGATGTTAGCAGGAGCAGTTTGAGGTGAGAATGCCAGGGATCACGTGCTTCAAGTCATATGCATTCTGTCTGGATCTCTGTATGTTGCCAAGACATGATCTTTTTGTTCCTACTGTATTTTTCTGTAAATACCCCCGGCGCTAAGTTGTAAAGTAAAGGCAAAATGTAAATATGAAGATGTGAACTACGTTCCCTTGTCTCTAGTCCTTTATCTCCTATTTGTTTAGGGAAGGCACACAAAGGCTTGTTTGTATTTATGCCAATTCTTTGTCCAGGAGAAACACATCAACTATTGAATGTAACACAATTAGTCCAATAAATTTTAAAGATTCTTATCTAAGTGACTTTTCACCTTTCCATTTTTTGGTGTTACTTTTCCAGTTCCTATGGTTGAAAATGCCAACGATGGCACTTCCCATGAGCGCCGACACTTCGTGCCCCCTCTGCTGCTCTGCTCGTGGGGTGGGCACGGAGGGCAGAGGCCCCATTGCAGGCGGGTGGGTGCAGCTGAAGCGCTAAAGCCATGTGGTTAGAATGCAGCACCGCCGGCATTGCACAAATGCTTTATTTGGTGCAAGCTGGGGATGAGGAATTTCTGATCTCGGTCTCTCGGACTGGGAGAGGAGCCGGGTCATAGAGTGCTGCCTCCTGCCGAGGCAGTGAGCTGGGAGCACCCCATGCCCGGGCCCTGGGCCCCAAGAGGCTTTGCTGCTCTGGGCCCGGCTGTGCATTCCGGTGCCCAGCAGTGGGTCCGGCAGCCCATTCCGCCCCGCCGTGTCCCCACACGCAGCAGTGCGGCACGAAGCTCTTCTGAGACTGCGGCTTTTCCTGGGGAGCAGAACAGAACCCAGTGGAGGAACCCTTCAGAAACCCCGTGCAGAGCGGTGCAGTGCCCTCAGCACAGGCACCGCAGTGTGAGCTACTTCCTGCTCCCGGGGAGCGGTGAGATTTTCTGCTTCATACACCGAGGTGCAATTTGTTATCAGAAACACCGCGCTGCATCCCGGGGCTCAACTCTGCCTTCAGCTCCGCTGTGGCTGTGATGGCGCCGAGGCTCAGGGTTGTGCTGCCCCAGCCGTGGCCTCGGGCACCTGGGAGGTGACGCAGGAGGGACACTGCCAGGACAGCCGTCCCGTCCAGCAGCAGCAATGAGGGGCGGGCAGGGGCTGAGCTCTGGCACCACAGGATGACGCTGGTAAATGACTCCGTGCATCTTCTGCCTCTTAAAACACTTAATATGTGTGCCCGTGTGATTCATTATTATCATCTAATAAAAGATTATCTGACTCACTTTCATGTTTCTTCCAATTACAAATTGAAATTGTTCCCACTATGACCTTGCAGCTGCTAGATTTTCTAAAATTAGCCATAATGATGCATTTTACTAAGATAATTAATTATCTAAACTGAGAAAATTGAGTAGTAGAACTACTTCACATGCTGCTAGTTATCTTTTATTATGTCATCTTTACATGCAAATAGAGAAATATTGTGATTATTTTAAACACTGTTTTCATTAGCTAACACACTTGTTAGCACAGCCATGGCTCCGCTCCTCCTCCGCACTGAGGGCCCCCCGGGGACTTTGGGTGCTCATTGCCCGCAAGACTCTGATTTTCAGATTAAAAATGCAGACTTGCGCTCCAAACTCGATCAGCAGGATGAAACTCGAGAGCGGATTGGCAGAAACGGCCCCGGGGCTGCGGGGGTCACCGCCGTGCCCTCCGGTCGGGCAGAGGGCAGAGCGCTGCCAGCGGGGCGGTCCTGCGTTGGGCTCAGCGCTGTGCGGCCGTGCGGGGAGTGCTGGGCACGGCTCGGGGCTCTGCAGCACGGGAGGGACGTGGGCAGAGCAGAGAGGGTCCGGCGGAGGGCTGTGGAGGTGACGAAGGGAACAGAGCATCTCTGCTATGGGAGCGTGCAGAGAGCAGCAGCCAGCCGTGCATGGGGGCGGGACCGCAGGCAACAGGAACAGACGCGGAGCTGAGCGGTTCCCTCTGGACGTCTGCACGTGCTGCTGTCCTGAGAGGCCGTGCAGCCTCCTTCCTGGAGGTCAGCAGCTGCTGGACGCGGTGCTGGGTGCCGTGAGGTGCTGGATGCTGGAGCAGAGTGGGAGCAGGGATGTCTGAGATGCGGCAAAGAGGCGCCCCGAGCTCCTGAACAGCACTGGGAGCTTTGAGTTCCCTTCTGTGCCTCCACTCTCTGCTCCCTTTGGAGATCTGCTGCTCCAAAAGCAGCACGAGGTGGCTCAGGGCACGGAGGTACCACTGATGTTCCAGTAGCGTCCCCACCGAGGATCCGCTGGGAGATCTCCCCCAGCCCTTCTTTCTCTCCCTGTGACCTGGCTGAGCCCCTGACCCAGGAGCTGCCTTTGGGAGCAGTCCTTGGAAGAGCTGGGGGCCTCCTGGGGGGCTGTGCGGTGCTGGGAGGACCCCGTGTGCTGACAGCAGTGCTGTGAGGAATGCATTGGCAGCACCAGCACAGCACTGTGCCTCCCACTCACGTGGGCCCCCATCCACAGGGAGCCATTGTAGGCTGGCTCTGTGTGAGGTGCTGAGCCATAAATCCGCAGCAGGATGGGCCAGTTCGCACTGCCCAGCTGCTCAGCCCTGCAGCCCCTTCCCATCCTCTCGCACACTGGTGGGAGGCAGCTGTTGGTGCTTTAGAGCTCACAGCCCCTGCTCTGGCAGCCAGCGCCCTTCTGTGCACGGGCAGGGGATGCTCCCGCTCCCTTCAGCCCTCAGCTCTTAAATCACATTTGCAGATAGGGAGGAATGGCAGGATGCTGGGACACACGGGTTGTAACTTGGGGGGGCAGCATGAGGACTGGTCACAGGGCTTCTGGCTTTTGTCTCACTGCTCCAAAGGGGCTGTGCTGGGTGGGCAAGCAGCGCTGCCTGCTGTGCTTGCTCCAGGAGGGGCCCAAGGCCACCACCCAACCCACAGCCACAGTGGGAGCAAACTGCAGCTTGGGGCAGTCCTCAGTGCAAGCTGCAGCATGAGAGCGTATGGTGATAGAGCAAGGTGACATCCTTTGCTGAGCTATGTACTCCCAGCAGCGGAGCTGTGCAATGATGGAACAATGCCATGCAATAAATCTTCCTGGGGCCACAGATTTAGTGAGCAGTATGGATTTTGAAAAGGAGGAGCTGGCAGTGTGGATGGGACAGGGCGAGCTCAGATCCATTTCCAAAAAGGCTCATTTCTCCATCCCGCAGTGCCGGTCAGCCCCAGCTGGGATGGCAGCTCTGCTGCCCAGGCACACAGCACCTCGTGCTCCAGCAGAGACACTCCATGTCCCAGCCTGAACAGAGTCACAGAATCACAGAATGACTCGGGTTGGAAGAGCCCTCATGGATCAGGAATCTCCAACCCCCTGCCACACGCAGGGCCACCAAACTCGCCATTTCATAGCAGCCCAGGCTGCCCAGGGCCCCATCCAATCTGGCCTTGAACACCTCCAGGGATGGACGGGGCATCCACAGCCTCTCTGGGCAGCTGTTCCAGCACCTCACCACTCTCTCTGTAAAGAACTTCCCCCTGACATCCAACCTCAATCTTCCCTCCCTCAACTTGAAACCATTTCCCCTTGTCCTGCTGTTAATCCACCCTTTCAAAGAGTTGAGTGGAACACTTCTCCCCGTGCAGACACACAGGCAGCGGCACCTGCTCCAAGCTCAGATCTTTTCATGTAGAAGCATGGTCATGACCTGATCAGCTCAGACCCCACGGGTTGCCTTGCTCAGATCATCTCCTGACCAGAGCCCTGTTTGCCACAGTTGTGGTTCCTAAGCCCCAAACTCCACACCAAGCAAATGCTTTCCTGATTTTCTGGTGGCAGCCGCTGGGCAGGGAGGAGCTCAGCAGCTGGGACAGAAGTTGCATACAGGTATGGAGCACAGGAGGAGGCACAGGGATGGTGCACACAGGGGTTGGTGCACACCTCGATGGTGCTCAGGAAGTGGTGCACACAGGGATGCAGCACAGGCGATGATGCTCACATGGGTGACGCACAAGAGACTGTGCACACAGGGATGGTGCGCAGTGGGTGATGCACACAGGGATGGTGCACACATGGAAGGCACACACAAGTGGCACGCATGGAGCTATCAGAGCCATTGGTGCTTGGCGGGGAGGCTTCAGCCACTGAGCCTCAGCTGCTGGGGCACAAAGAAGAATGCCTGGCTTGGCTGTTTGCTTTTTTCCTAAATGTTCAAAATCCTTCAGATCAGAGGTTCTGGCAAACACTGCAGACACAGCCCAGGCTGTGGCAGGTCCCCTCTGCACCCCCTGCTGCCCTGTGGAGCTGTGGAGCCCAAAGTCAGCTCTGAGCCCTGGAGACACTTTCAGCAGAGACCTGGGGACAGGAAGCATGGGGTTGGCTTTTCAGAGCCATAGGGCACGGCAACAGCTGGGGACAGCATGGAGAAGCAGGGACATGTGGGCACGTCCCTGCTCAGTGCCTCCGCAGCTGGTGGCTGATGCCAGTGGGTCCATAGCTGCTCTCTGCCTAGCACAAGCAGCCGCCCCCCTGGGCACTCCTGAGGGCAGCACCTCCCTGATGAGGAAAGGAACCAGGAAGGTGTCCTGAAGTGCCACCCCCCAGCTGCTCACCCCCCCAGGGGCCCTCTCCCCAGCCCGTGCTCTTTGTGCCCCCATTCCCTGCTACCTGCCCAACCGGTCCTGTCACCAACCTGCATTCTTGCTCCAAAAATATGCCTTTGAAGTTTCTGGGCTTGCTTTCACCCTGCCCCAGCTGTGTCCCTCCCTTGCCCGAGTCATTTTGCTCAGGCCCCAAACCACCCCTTCCTCCCATCATTCCTCTTCCAAATGAAATGTCCCCCTCAGGGACCAGAGGCCACTATCAGGCCCATGCAGCCATTTGCACGTCCTGCTGACACTGGGCTCGGTGCCACTCTCTCCTGCAGTCACTTGGACGTGGTGGCACCTGGACATAGTGGTACAAGGCCATCCGGGCTGCCTGAGCCCCTCTCTGTTGGTGGCCAAGTGCCAGGCAAAGAATTGTGTCCATAAGTCACAGCAAGGCACGTGCAGGAGGAAGCAGAGCTGTCCACTTAGCTAAATTGTGGTTCTGGCTGTGAAAGGATTTGTAATGAAGGAATGAGATTTAAATCAGTTCTATTTCCTAAGAGTTGTTATAACCTAAAAAGGAGCAAGTTGTTTTATTGCATAAAGGAATATGAAAATAAGTTGTGCTTTCATGTCTGGAAACTCTCCTCAGTAACAGGGCTGCTGCAGTGAGACACCAGACCTGAAATACTCCCTCATGGTTCTCTGCCTTGCTCAGTTTTGGAGGCCTGGCTGTGAGGATGGGGGGCAGGG